ATTTTAGCTTTGTTTTTAATATATTTTATTCTTAATTAATGTAAGTTAATTCTTTCTACTTAATTAAATTGAATCCCTATAAATATAAAAACATAAAAATTCCCAATATTTTAGAATAAAATAGTATATTCAGGAGAACATTTTCGGCAAATGTATGTAACTTTTTTCCTTATTGTTTTAAATATAATTGTATTGTTATTAAGTATGTATAAAAAATTTATGCACAAATAATTCTTTTTTTTTTTTTTGAAATCCACAATAATTCGAATGTATCTTTGCGTTCCATGTTTATTTGATTTATAAATTTTTAAAACTTAGCAAAATTATATTTTACCAAGACTTCTTTTTATTAAAAAATGAAATCAAAATATTACTGAGTGTTTTTCATTTCACGGTGATCAATTTTTAAAATAATTATACTTTTATGTATTAACAATTATAGTTTTGATAATTAATATACACATAAAAATTTAATTTGATTTTTAATTAAATTTATTAAAGTAATATTAATATTTATCTATACACACGTGCAACGTAGGAGGTAAAAAGGCTGGAAAGTTCAAAGCAAGCAATCAAATCAAAAGGTATTGTTTCCTAACTGGGCTGGTCTTATTAAAATGATATGACAATTCACTAATTGTAACGATTGAGAAAATCCTTTATGTGATTATTGCTAAATTATATTTCACGAAAACAAACCAATTAGGTGAAATGATATTACATTTTTTTTGAACTGCCAGCCGAACCAATAGGTTGCCAATACGTAAGAGATAATTACATTATGCATAATTGCAAAGTGTATCATATATATTATTTTAAACATAGGAAATAACATTCAACTTTTAACGACGGATAAAATTCAAATACGAAATTTCTCATTTTCAATCTCCATTCCTTATTTTTTTATAAGATTTGAGAAAACTAATCAAATCACATCTGATTAATATATCATTATATATATAAAACGTGAAATATATTAATTTCAAATTAATTCAAATGAGATGCAATATTATTATTATTATTACAACATAACTCATATATATTATTACTGTTGTAGACTAAAAGTCATGAAGGCTGTGAATAGCAATTAAACCCTTAAACAAATTCATCATATCCATGCATAGACATTCACATAATCACATTTTTCGTACATTTATAAATTTGTGTTGAATATTTAAAATATATATCTTATTATTTTTTTTATTTCATTAAATTAAAAGAACCTCTCGGATATCTTAGAAATATTTATTCAACACTTTTAAAAATTTTATAAAGTTTTTGTAATAACTTCACAACAACGGTCGTATACATATATCATATCAAATTAATTACTAGGGATTCCCCAAAGGGTTGCCTAATGGAAACTACGCAGACAAACCTCTAGTTGTCCTGTATTTGATTCATGAAAATGTGGAAACAGTTAATTAACTCTTGTTTAGACTTAAGCCCGCCAATGCACATTAATCATAACCCTGATATTTCATTAAATTTATGTAAATTACAATAAATTATTGAATATTGACTATATTATTCTTAATTTAATACTTCTATGGGTAATGGAATGCGTGATATAAAAATGAATTTGATCATATATCAGAGACGCCTTTTGGTGGAAATGACTTGGAGAGTTGGAAGAACTTCAGAGTTAAGCGTGTTCGCTTAACGGAAATTCTATGATGGATTTTACCAATTCAATATGAGATGAAATTGACTTAATCCAAAGCGGACAATTCCTCTGGTGGTTGGAGTTGAGCGTGATATAAACACCAAATAATTATTGGTCATATATAAGGGTAAACATTAAAAAAAATTTTATTACTCGTTGAAGCTACAAATGTGACAAATTATTTTTCTTAAATATGACAAGTATTAAAGAACAGATGTATTAATGAATGATTGGAAGACTCTTTTAAGTCATGACAAAACACATTTTAATCAAATTAGTTTGATGAACCTCTTGTGTTCGGTAGTGTAGTTTAGTTGTTTTTTTTTTTAATCAAGTAACAAAATGTTAATGATTATCAAATAAAAAAAAAGATTTAAAAACTCTAAACATGTTCTTAGCTTTGATTAATTAATTGTTTAGGATTGGGGAAGAGGAAGAAAATTAATATTGGGAGTAATTAATTAAGTCTACATTGACTTATGAGTTTCAATATTGAGGGTGTTCAACTACTAATTATTATCATTACATGAGGTAATCAATTATAACCACCACATTCAAGCATATCATATAAATGTATAATCGAAAACACTAATTATTTACAGTAAAAAACATGACCCAGAATCCAATTATGCAAACCAGGAGGACGGTGATGAAGAATATGAATGCTCTCAATGCTCGCAAGATTAATATAATGTAAATACAAAAAAATAATCCGTAAGATTAATAATATTTATATATTTTTCAAATCGCAAATTTAATAAATATCCTAATGAAAATAATTTCAATGTCAATATGGAAAATTCACCAGTAAAATTTCAATATTAAATTAATACATTGCAGGTTTGTGAAAGGAATTCCATTTAATAGTTATAAAATTGCAGACATTATTAATAACAGAAACACATGAGAAGGGTGACAGGAAGAAGATCATCAATAAGCATGCAAGTCACTATATATATATATATATAATTGGAAGGCAAGCAATTTGCTTGAAGGATAACTTATTAATTAAGGGACAGAGATCAGTACTGCAGATTATGAAGGTGAAAAATCAGGCTAAAGGATAATATATATATATATTAAGAATTAGAAGACAGGTCCTGAAATATATCTCAAGAACATGAAATTATAGCTTCAGAAACTAAACAATATTATAATTAGAGTGTTACTTAATTTTATTGTTTGCATTAAAGCATTAATATATTGAGACACACATGCACCTAGCCATTATAATACATTGTTCCATGAGTTAGGTGTGTACACATTATTGAAATTCCTATTTGCGAGCAAGTTGCATTTTCTATTTTAGATCCAAAACTTTTTTTGCAGCAGCCTAACTACATGTATATACCCTCTTGTTGCTTTTGGCATTTTGTCCTGACTGCCTGCCTGCTTTCCAACTTGTCTTAGGGACGCAATTGTTTACTTATACAAACTGGGGAATAGGATCGTGTATGTAGATGGAGATGTAAATGAGACAAGCCGAGAAGATCCGCTCGATAGTTTAGTTTTGGTTCGAGACTCGATGCTCAAATAATTTTAAAATATATATTTTATATATGTGTATATAAAAGTTTAATAAGGTCCGATAAGTTTTCAAGCTGAACATTATCAGACTCGAGCTCAATTTGAGCCAAATTCGAACACCTCACAAGCCGACTTGACTTATTTACACTCCTATATACAGGCATGCACTGGTACAACAATAATTTGGTAGTGATTGAATTGGTTTTGTATTGTAAGCAACTATATATCATAAAATTCAATATTTTTTTCTCATTGCCCCCCTCCCCCCCCACAGTCACAATATAATATATATAATATATATATATATATATATATTTATTTATTTATTTCTATGCTCAAGAATTTTCAAAATGTCTTAAGGATAAAGACTCTTGTTTTTCCTTTTTAATTTCCACTATCAAATTTATTGATCAAAAAAGGAATTATTTATTTATTTATTTCTATGCTCAAGGAATTTTCAAAATGTCTTAAGGGATAAAGACTCTTGTTTTTCCTTTTTAATTTCACTATCAATTTATTGAATCAAAAAAGAAAATATATTCATGAAGGAATCAGAGTAGGGACTGATGATTAATGTATTCAAGTGCCAATTGGCTTTTAGGTTCCTCTTTTCACTGTACAAATTGCATGAACAAGAGGCTGAGAATCTAAAAATAAAAAAAGGTGTTAAATTCCCTTCTTACATTTTAATTTTAATTTATTTGATGTATCTATCTGTCTGTACAATTAATTACAATGTATATGTAATTCTATCATTCTGGATTTGTACTTTCAAATTTTTTTTGTTCTGGATAAGGAGAGCTTCATTTTCATGATTAAAGAATTAACTCAACTCTCAAGAGTCTTATCTCTCTCTCTGAGCTTGGAACAATACAAAGCTACATAGCAATTAATTAGTGCAAAATGCCATTGATTTTATCAATTCTGGTGATAAAATCAAACAACAAAAAAACATAATCAGGTGATTTTTTAGCTGTTTGATTTTATCCTAGAAAGTTTTAAGGCAAAGCACATGCAAGGTCCAAATAGAAGACATGGGTAGATGAGCTAGTTCTGGAAATTTTGTGCAAAAGAGAATCTTCTTTTGCATTAGAATATTTCAATTACAGTTAAATAATACAAATTGAGACAAAACCTCCACCTGATATGCACATATATTTATAGTATATATAAAATATTGAACAAAAAAAAAGAAAAAAGAAAAAAGAAAAAACAAACTCACAAAAAAATCTTAACGAAGTTAGTAATGGTGAAGGAGAAGGTAGTAGTAATGGTGAAAATATGGGCTTAAAGAAGACAACACGCCATTTTATGCTAAGGCCTAAGGGTTCTGATAGAATTAAAAAAGCTATAACTTCTTGTTGAAATGGGTTGGATTTGTAAATTATTGGGCCTTATGTGCAACCATTTTCAGAAGATTTCAAAATAAGAAATGGGCTTTGTTTACCTAAGTAATTAGTTCCAAGCCATTGTAATGAAAAATGAATGATCGAACTTGGTACCTAACTGTTTCATATTATCACTCTCTACTTCAAAAATAATTTCGCTAAAAAAATGAAAGCTCTAAATATCGACTAATTATGGGGCGAAAATAAAAACTAATCAATCAATAAAATTACGAAACGCCGCCGCTTTCCGTGGGAATGAGTACCGTGAGAGCTTTCCGGTGTTGCAAGATGCAAACCCTGGTAAGTGGGCCCCAGTCACCGACAATTGTGGGTCAAACGCGCTAGTTCTGTCTTAAAAATGAAAGATTTCTTTTTTTTTTTTATTATTTATTATTTTTATCATAGTAAAAATCAGAAATGAAGACATGAGCGTAAATGTAGTAACAGTTCAGTGTTAAATCGAAGACATCATTAGATCTCTACGGTCTCTCCTGCTAGCCCATAATCTTTCTCTCTCCGTCTATCCATGGCCTGTAAATCTAATTTCTTTTTTATTCTCTGCGTCTTCTCTTTTTCCGTAAATTCGATCTTCTCCTTACGATCAGAACCACAATCACTTATAGAAACAGATTGCACCAACCGCTGGATCCATATTAGACGGTTACCATCACGCTTCAATCTTGATCTTCTTACAAACTGCTCCGAGTACACACTTATCGAAGATTTCTGCCCCTATTTAGCCAATCATGGCTTAGGCCCCAAAACGCACAATCGCTCTCAATCTTGGTACCGCTCCGATCCTCTTTTGTTAGAAGTCACTTTCCATCGCCGGATGCTTGAGTACCCATGTCTCACCGCCGATCCCAATTTGGCCACCGCAATCTACTTACCTTATTATGCAGCAATTGATTCTTTAAGGTATTTGTACGGTCCAGATGTAAATAATAGCATGGAGCATGGGTTAGAATTATTCGACTATCTTCAAGAAAATGATTTTAAGATATGGGAAAGAAATAATGGGATGGATCATTTTCTTGTTATGGCAAGACCCGCTTGGGATTTTTCACAGCCTTTGGATTTTGACCCACCTGTATGGGGAACTTCACTTCTTGAATTGCCTGAGTTTTATAATGTAACTGCTTTAGTTGTTGAAGGTAGGACTTGGCCTTGGCAAGAACAAGCTGTGCCTTATTTAACCTCATTTCACCCTCCAAGTTTAGCCCTTTTTTATTCTTGGCTTAAACGTGTTAAGGGTTCAAGAAGAACAACGTTTATGCTCTTTGCCGGCGGCGGCGGTATCTCTGCCACCCCAAATATTAGGAGAAGTATTAGAAATGAGTGTGAAAATACTAGTAATAGTACTAGTACTAGTATGGGTGGTTTTTTTTGTACTAAGGTATGTGATTTAGTGGATTGCTCTAATGGGATATGTGAACATGACCCTATAAGGTATATGAGGCCAATGTTACAAGCCAATTTCTGTTTGCAGCCACCAGGGGATACTCCAACAAGAAGATCAACTTTTGATGCCATAATTGCAGGGTGCATACCAGTTTTCTTTGAAGATGTGTCGGCAAAATCGCAATACCGTTGGCACTTGCCGGAGGAGATATATGGGGAATTTTCAGTTTTTATACCTAAAGAAGAGGTTGTGTATAAAGGGTTAAGGATTTTGGATGTTTTAACGAGCATTCCAAGTGATCAAGTGAGGAAGATGAGGGAGAAAGTTTTAGGGTTGATTCATAGAGTTTCATATAAGAAGCATGGGAGTTCGTTGGGTTTTAGAGCAAAAATGGATGCTTTTGATATTGCAGTTGAAGGTGCTCTGAAGAGGATTAATACAAGGCTTAATGGAGGAGAGTTTTATTACTGATTATTAATTTTAATTTATTTTGGTTGTTGTAATTATTATTATCATTGATTCTTCTCTCTCTCTCTCTCTCTCTCTCTTTTTTTTCTTTCGTTCTCCTGCAAAAAATGCAGAGAACAATAGATCATTTTTGTTTGTATCAGTAACCATCTGCATTCAATTTTGGAGGAAAAATATTGGTATTCTCTCTTTCTGTTCATCTTAATATTTGCCTTGATGTTAAGAACAGTGCTGATTGTAAAAAGATCAATAAAAGATGAAATGCTGGTGAACAGAAGTCTGTAAAGCTTCTGTAATGGTGATCAAAAGAAAAGGAAAAAGAATAATTAATTAAAGCTGCAAAAATATATGTGACAACAGAAACCAAGCAAACAAAAGGGAGCTGTTGAGAGATTTTGCGTTAGCGAAATCTCTGATTATCTGTAATACATATAGAAAGAAAGGGAGGGCAAGAATGGTTTGACTTCACGTTACAAAGTAATTCTCATTCTTCTTTTATACTAGTCATTGAAAACCTTCAGCCCCATCTAATAATTGCAGAACCCCAAGTTAGACCAGCTCCAAAACCTGCAGTTGCAATAGTGTGGCCCGCCTTCACTTTCCCACTTCGAACCGCTTCATCCAATGCCAATGGAATCGAAGCAGCACTCGTGTTCCCATAATTTGCTAAGTTTGATATGACCCTTTCTGGTGGAACTTCTAATCGTGTCGCAACTGCATCAAGGATCCTCTGGTTTGCCTGCAAAAAAAATATTCACCTCCATTATTCCTGCATCACCATAATTACCCTGTCTGGCATGTTGCATGATACAAATCAGAGACTTCATATAATTCATACCTGATGGAGCAGTAACCAATCAATGCTAGATCCTGTGAGACCGGCCTTCTCAAGAGCAGACTCTATAGATTGTGGGACACATCGAACAGCAAAGCGGAAGACCTCTTTTCCGTTCATCTGAATGCAGGAATATGAGGCACGCCTGGGAGGGAAGCCTAAAACTGAACCATTAGATCCCAATGCATGATCCACTTCACTTTCTGTAATGCCAGCATTCAAATGTCTGCAAGAAAAGAAGGATATGTCATCTGTATCTTAACTAGTAGAAAACTTGGAGTCTATTTACATGGGTACGTCAGAAAAACCTACCTCTGGCCATCACCATCACTATGCAAATCAAAACTAAATAAACCATCATCCTCACTGTCACAGGCCTGTAGAATTACAGAAAACTCAACAACTAAGCAGCTACTTATTGATTGTTCACCTATAAATACATAAGCCAAACCAAATATTAACATAGAACAGGGAGGGGAGTCAAGTTGGGGGTGGAAACAATTAAGTTTACAGAGAGTTTGACCAATGACCCGAGACAAAACCATGAAACTAAAGATGAAACAAGATATTTAACTTACAACCTACCATGAAGAGGTAGGGATCTGAACCACAAATAATTCACCTCATCTAAACCTGTTTAGAGTCAATGGCTAGAACAATAATATAAGATATCAGTTCCCTCTTACACCTAGCTTTTGATACAGAGATGCAACTAACCAGGAAATGCTTTATCATCTCGCTCTAGAAAGCAGCATAAGGTGCTAAATGGTCCCAATTTTCTCCAAATTTAAAAAGATAATAATAGTATAATATGTACTACCATGCTTGATCTACAAAATGTGATGCATGACATGATTGTAGCCCACTATAATGAGTATCAGTGAAAGATGCAGAATTTGTCAATGGAAATAAAAGTTTAATACTGTCTCAAGTGAAGAGATGCATAGGCACCTCAATCCCTAATAGTTGAGGTCAGTTGCATAGAACCTTCTACATTCGCTTAAGGTGCACCAATGATATTGAAAAAATAAAAACAAAAATTAACCAATGTAATCAAGAAAAATTAAATCATAGTACAGCAGGTACACGAATCAAAAAACTAAGGGAAAAATAGAAAACATACCTGTACAAGCACAGCACCAGCAGCATCCCCAAAGAGAATACAAGTTCCTCTATCCGTCCAGTCAACATATCGAGAAAGACCATCAGCACCGATTACCAGTACATTTCGAAACCCACCTCCTGTAATTGACAACGTTTCATTTGATCTATCAAAACATGGAGGCCATGATCATGCTTGAGAAAGCAAAGTAAACAAGTTTCTTTACCCCTAATGTGACAAGCAGCTGAAACTAGGCCCAATACAAATCCACTACAAGCAGCTGTAATATCATAAGCCAAAGGATTTGTTTTGCAGCCAAGTGCCTTTGGGATCTGAAATTTTTAAGAAATACTAAATTAGATTCTTGCAACAAAAAGCTAATATAGGATCGATTAACTTCAGTACTACTGACAAACTTTCACAGTGTTTTACCCAAGAATCAGAAGCTTAAAACCATTAATCAGCGAATTATAAGGTCTGATGATTGAGATTGGAAACAGGATAAAGGCTTATTTATTTGTATACTAAAGCTTACCAGGAAGGAAAAAGAGAGAAGATGAAGAGTAGAAAGATAGGAGTACAGAGCCATATAGGAGAAACAGAGTATTAAAATGGGAGAAAGTGCATCTAATATTGAATTTTATAAATTACTTTTTTATTGCAACGCTAGTAATTTCATATGCAGGGATGTAGCACTGTAACAGTAAATATTAAAATATATATTTCTTTCCTTTCAACCAAGCATGTATTTGTGGAAGAGTTTTATCCGTTTTTCTTTCTTTTCCATCACTTCTTCCAAGCGAGGTGTTAGTTGTTCATTGAAAGCCATCAAAGAAGAAAGCAACTTAGAAAACTAAATTCAACGTAGATAAAGGGGATGACTGACTACAGAATGCAACATAGTTGTAAAGACTCGATGCAGCTACCAAGAGATTTGTATAGTATAATAAATTTGAGCAAGTCCTTTCAGCACAATTGAGGATGACGCTTTAAGTTACTGATAAACAATCCAGGCACAACTTAAGAAAAGTCTCCAAACTTGCCCACCAACAAAATAAGTGAGTTTCAAGTTTCAAGATTGACCAGTTAACTACCCACGTAGCGCTAAACTATGTGAAGGATATGCCTATCTTGAAACCCATACCTGAGGAGCACTACCAAAAAGATCCTCTGGTGTAGATGTGCACATCAACACCAGGTCCACATCATCAGGTTCAACCTCTGCCATCTGAAGAGCTTTTCTTGCTGCCTCAGTGGCTAAGGAAATCAAACTATCTTTTCCTGTAACATTAGTGACAATCAAAATTAATAACTATTTGCAATTGCACTTCCCATTCCGTAAACAATCAATTGTAGATAAGTAGGCCAATGATGTTCAGGAAAACACAAATCATAGGCTGCGAACCACAATAGAAATTAATAGTTTGTGACCAAACAGTAATAAATAGATGCCTCTAGGTGCATTACCCTAAAATATAGTAAAAAGATATTTGTTTGAGAGATATCATCAAGCATGAAACTGGCAATGGCCATCATGTAATCACAGTTCAACCAAGATGAGTTCAAATTCACAAGGCTAAAAGTCTCAAAATCATCCAGATGAATGCCCTCTACCTAGGCTCAAGCTCAACTTTCAAGCATTGTTATTGAGAAGCTGGGTTACAAGCCTAGATGTTACACTGCTCATATCCATCTAACATATGAAACTTAAAATGCATTGCAAAATGAAAAAGCCTGACCTGTAAGAACTCGTCGATTGCGAATCCCAGTTCGAACTGATATCCATTCATCAGAAGTATCAACTACCTTTGCAAGGTCATCATTTGAAATCTGAAGAGCAGGTACTGCTGAACCACTACCAACTAACTTGCAACCATTACTAATGAGCCTGTGAATTTACAAAATTGGAACAGAACTAAACTAAGATAATCAAATTCAATTCTTTTGTTATCAGATTCATCTAAAAAGGAATCTATTACCATAAATCAGTAGCACCCACTTATAACTAATAATCATTACTAAAAACCATTACCAATCCATAACCGGTGAATCCAATACCTACTTCATTCAGCTCTGAACTTTCTACAACCTGCTTGAACCAAACTCCTACTTCAATATGAAGTTTAAGATATACTGCGTAAGCTACTGTATCCAAAAATGATTCAACAACTTTCAGCTGATGGCTTCAAATCACAATCTAACAAAGTCAACCCCTTTATTTAGCTTTAGATTGTCTTGCATGGCACTTAATCTCATTTTAGAAGAAAAAGAAAAATTGTAATCCTTTTGATTGCTCAGGATTCTAATTGCCAAACTATGTACAAATTTCCACTTCTTCAACAAGCAACGCAGACCAAATAGGAATTATACGTCATCCAATCAATTTGGAATGTTTGAACCAACAAGAGAAGCTAATACAATCAGGAAATACTCATTTGCAAATTCATACCTGGGTATTTGAGATTGAGAAGTGGAAAGCTTCTCTGCACCTTCAATGGAGCTGGAGCAGAATACCCTTCTGGATATTCTTCCGCAAGAGAAAAACCCAGATCCAGTCATCTCTATTGAAGGCTTAACCTTTCTCCTTAGGCTTGGAACTGAAGGACTAAAGAAACCGGATGCATTTGCCATCTATACTATGAACAACCTATCCTAAGAAAATAAAATATGTTTTGTAGTTGCAGAGGGAGAGGAAAAAAATGCAAGAAATTTGTTTCAACTTATATATGAGGAACCAAAAACGAGAAAGCGATTGTAAATAGACCCAGAGCCCATTAGATGAGAAGAAACCGGAATAAAATACAAAGAAATAGAGAGTAAGACGCACGCAAATTCAAAGATCTGATTTTTGGTTAATCTTTTGAAGGAGGACCCAAGAAAATAGAAGAAAAGGGGCGATTATGCCAATCCAATTTGAGGGAACTCCAATGCCTTCAATCTCTTTATCAGCAACTTTGTTTGTAAAGCTCAGTCCTGGAAATCCCTTATAGTTAATTTTGTTGATACAACCTAAGCGGTTTTGGTTCAAGCGGCATGCACTTGACACAAACAATAGTTGGTAGAATCCATTGATTGTGAACACCTATATGGATTACGTGGCAAATTCTTATTGGTTAGATTATTAAAGTTTGTGTAGGGTGGCATGTAGAAAATTATGAACTGAGATCCCCCCCATCTTTTGTTTCTGCTAGTTGCATTCCATGTGTTTAGATACAAACAATGACAACAGTTTCGTTTTTTTACAAGTCATTTCAAATCTTTCCTTGGACAATACAAGTTGACAAAATTTGTTTAGCTACAAAGTCTATTTCTTTGCTGTAAGATTGTTGTCTATTGACACTTTTCCCCTTGTTTTTTACAAACCTTGTTAAACCTATATATTTTCCAACAGAATATCCCACCTCCCTTTTTCATTACTGTGAGATTAATCTAGTAGATCAATTTTGTTGAACTTCACTGTCTTATTGTCAAAATTCGTAATTTTAAAAATATAATAAATCAGTCTATAGTTTAAGGTGTTATAAAATTTTTACCAAAAATTCAGAAAAAATTTATATATTATGTTTTCAAATACGAAAAATGTTAGCATCCTCTTTTATAACAATTTTTTTTTCCTTCTGAAATTGGACAACCAAACTCTCTCTAAAAGATAAATAAATAAATAAATGTTATTAGTTGCCATGTCAGATTGTTAGGCTAGAGAAGTCGACTTTTTTATACAAACTTGTCGTGATCTATGAATTGCATAGTTGCAAATGAATTGCAGACAGCAGCATTATTGTTTTTGTGAGAAAAAAATTGGAATAAAAATAATTAATTACATTCAACAATTAAATCGGTGTTTGAATAGCTGAAAATAAGATACATTTGCCACTTCAACATCTATACCATGCTTTTCAGATTTTGAGCTACATTTGTGGTTTCTGTTGAGAGTTGGGTGAACAACAAACGAACATTTCTTCAAAGAAACAATATTTGTATTTATATCTTGTTAAAGTGTTTATCTAGATAAGAATTCTAAAGCACTTAGCTACCTCACCATGAGTCAGAGCCAAATGGTGCTGCTCTTTCTTTAACATGCCTAACATTGTTTAAATCGAACAACTCGATGAACAAATCAAAGTGCTCCATTAATTAAAAATAACTTAAATTATACTCAATGCCCTGGCTTACACATGGCTACTTCCATTAAGCATAGATGTCAAAATCATTTAGATCAACCTTCAATTTCACTGTTCAGCCTTCTTTTAAAATTTCACTTTCAATTTCTAGGATGATTTGTCTTTTTCCAAAAAATTTAATGGCTCACGCATGACAGAATTAATGGTTTGTCGGATAGAGCAAAGGGGCACCAGTGGTCTAGTGGTAGAATAGTACCCTGCCACGGTACAGACCCGGGTTCGATTCCCGGCTGGTGCAGTGATTATTTTTTGTTGTTTCTATTCATTAATAATGGATATAATTTTTTTCCCCTTTTCATCCACTGAAAATTCAACGCACAAGTTTCCAAATTCCAAGCTCCATTTAATTGTATAAACTACAGAATTTTACCGCCAACTTCTTTTTTGTAGTCATAACTAATCTATCATATAGTTTACTGATAGTAGTTTCAGTTTCTTTAGCAGAAGAATAAAGGATCGTGGACTTTCTTGCAATGATTAATTGTTTTTCAAAGAATAAAAATAATCTTTTTAGTTTCTTATTTTAATTAATTTTTATATTTTTGTGGCCATTTGAGTTGCAGGGTGGGGTAAGGATTTCGATGCAGACAAATGGAATAGTTTTGTTAAAAGTATATACAAATTTTCGGTAATGATTCAGGCCACATAATTTTTGTTTTTATTTTTGTCATTAAAGAATTAAAGTTAATGTTTTTAGTACACAGATGGATATGGGTATAGGTTTGATGTCCCTGTTGGGACAGACACAGAGCTTAACATTAACTCGTTTACACGTTTATGAACTCTCTGTTTATGTTCTTAAATTACATTCGGTGAAGTCTTGAATAGCTTCCAAGATCAGGTTATCATCTTCCCATTCATCACGATATTTTTCTGGGTTCAAGAGGAGGTTCTTCAAAGCCGCAAAAAACATTTCCGTTCTCCATTCTTCCAACTCTTCAAATCCACACTGAACAGCAATCCACTTGTAATACTCAAACTATGAAAATTACAAAAACAATGTAAGAAAAGCAATTAAATTTTAGCCAAGCAAGTTGTGTAGGGACTAGGGAACTACTTGACAGACATTAATGACAAGGAAATTGATATACAAAAAGGCTTACCTGAGACACGCTCATATCATGAGTGTATCTTTTTGATATATTTGAAGCTTCAAGTGACAGGTAGAATGCTTCAATATCTTTCATCATTTCCTCTTGTGATGGAAGCACAATCCTACCCGATAAAACGCCAGCAATCCACTTGCTTTGAAACTCGAACATTCGGAAAGGAAGAACCTGGCACCAATCACAGAAGAATATCGTTCTCTCAGTCCAAGTTGAAAATTGCATCAAGAAAAGAATATGACATCAAACAGAAAAGAACCTTCCATGGTAACCCAACAAATGAAAGCCATGGAGCCAAAACTGGTGGGAAAACATGCTTGTATAATGGTCCAACACGATTGTCATCCACAGTCACAATGCCATGGGTTTCAAGAAAAGGGAAATGATACTTGTACCTTATAGAAGAGGACAATCATAACTATAAATTCAGTTTCATTCCTTTCTCTGAGACAGGGATATGAGTGTATATATATATATATATATATAAGTTAATCATCAAACGAAAGAAATATCTAAGTACCCGGTGCAATGTAGAATGGTATCTGCAAGGACAACCTGGGAATAGTGGTTTGTTAAAAGTATGGATACTAAATTGTCGGTTAAGTGATATCGAGGCCAGGCATAGGGTTTTTTGATTTTATTTTTGTCATTAAAGAATTAAAGTAGGATGGTTTTTAGGTATCGACAGGGATAGGATAGGTGGGTGATAGGTTGAGTGTCCTGTTGGGACAGATCGAAAGCAGGAGGCGAGTTGACATTTAAAACTGTTTACACGTTTTAATGAACTCTCTGTTTATGTTTCTTTAACATTAGACAGATTGTCGGTTGTTGACAGTCTGTATGAGCTTCCATCAGATCATGGGTTAATTCACTCTTCCCATTCATCCGAGTTATATTATTCTGGAGGTTCAGAGGAGGTTGCTTTTCAAAGCCGCAAAAAAAGATGACCAGTTCCGTCTCCATTTTCTGCCTATAGCTCTTCATAGACCATCACTGTAACGATGTCAGTCATACTGTGATACGTCAAACTATGAGATAAATTTATCAAACAAATGTAATGAAATGAGTCGAATAAACTATTTTAGACCTAGCAATAGTTATCGTTAAGTATCGGGAACTTAGGGAATTACTTGACAGACATTAATGCAAGGAATTGAGGTTGGATTACAATTATATAGTTCTAACTCGAGACACGCTTCAAATTATACATGAATTGTTATCTTTATATAATTTATTTGGTGAAGACTTAAGTGAGCATTAGAAATTGTTCTATTCAATAGATCTATTATCATCCATTTCCTCTTGTGTTGTGAGAAATCAAACAATCTATCCCGATAATAAACGCCAGTAAGATCCACTTGCTTTTTGAATACCTCGAGAACAGTTCGTAAAGGTAGAGACCTTAGTGCATCAATATCAGAAAAGAATATTATTATCGTAGAGTTCATCTCATGTTCCATAGTTGAACAATTGCATCATAGATTAAATATAGAATATGATGACAATCAGAAACAGAAAAGAATGACCTTCTCGCATTGGTAACTCCAATTCAAATGAAAGCCGATGGAGGACCCAAGAAGTGGTGTGTGGGATAAATCTTGCTGTGATGAAATGGTCCATACACGATTTAGTCATTTCCTTACGAGTCACTATATGGCCATGTGGTTTTCAGAGAAAGTGAAATGATGAGAACTTGTAACTGTCTTATAGAAGAGGACAAATTAATTACATAAATACATTAAAATTCTAGTTTCATTCTTGCTCTGGATGACAGAGTACTATTGAGTGGTATTATATATCTCTATGAGTATATAAGTTATCATCAAACGATTATAAGGTATATAATGTATTCAAGTACCGGGTGCAAGTGAGTAAGTCATGATTATGTGAATGCCAGAGGACAACTGCCTCCAATTTCAGAGAGGACCACAAGACACAAATCTATGCACAAACTTTGTTTATCTGCATTATGTTATGTAAAAGAGTTAAAGACGATATCTTAGAACACAAAGTCTATATGCTTCTCTTGATACCGGTGGATGCAGAGATTGTAAAAAGGACAGCTGAGCAATATAAATTTCTCAAGTTTAAAAATCTCTCCACTTCCTAATCTCGTTAGATTAGTGACTCATTAGAATGTGACGCCACATGTAATACTACTACTCAGGACTGCTCTTCTTGTGTTTCGCTTACATATCTAGTATCTTTGAAAAGTGCCTAACAAATAGGACCTCATTTTGGAACTCTACAAGCAATATATATATATATATATATAAGTTAATCATCAAACGAAAGAAATATCTAAGTACCCGGTGCAATGTAGAATGGTATCTGCAAGGACAACCCTCCCATTTCGGAAGACCACAGAACCATCTTCATGCACACTTTGTATCTGCATTATTATTAAAAGAGTACAATTTTAGAACAAGCTATGCTCCTGATACCGGGGTGCAAATTGAAGCCAGCTGACAAATTTCTCAAGTTAAAATCCTCACTCCTAATCTGTGATTTACCATAGAATGACGCCACATGTTATCATATCCAGGCTGCTCTTCGTGTGTTTCGTCTACAACTGATCTTGAGGCAACATGGACCTCTTTGGCAACTACAGCAATATCCCTGGATATATCCATAGCACTTGCTGCATTCCCAATCAAAACTACCACCTGTTTGCATAGAATTAGAAATAATGCATATAAGCAAGAAATACAAAATGCTTTAGGCATAAAAGAAAAGGTCAACACGGGCATAATACACACAGGACATATATTGAATAGAAAAAGAAACAAGTTCTGAAATTTTTGTAATTGCATGAAACTGAATCCCAAATTGCCCAAGAGACCTATGATTTTTGCAATTCTATCAGGAAAGAAGCATGCTTTTACTAAAAGTTCTGTTATTTATTTCAATCTCGCTAACTTGTAATTTGCTAGGCATCAATTGTATCTGACATTCCAATTGGACAACATCATTGTGCAAAAGGTGGTAGCTTTGTTAAATTTACCAAGCAAACGTACGCATAATAAACCCAAAAACTTCACAGCGGAATCCAATAATTCCAGCAACTTTGAAGCAATAACTTTCTGTATCTAAAAGTAGATAAAGGAGAAGTAGAAATCTGAGACGGACTTGATCTCGAAAGGGCTCAGGAACACGGTAATTGTGGCTATGCACTTGCTTCCCCGGCCAAGCACTGATGCCTGAAAAGAATATCCTTCATTATTATTCATCTTTTCTTATTGAACAAAGAGTGTAGAAGAAATACAGAAATTAGTAAATAGTCTTTGCAAATAAAGCAAAAACTATTAGGAAAAACATAACGAGACCCATCAACAAACATCAACTGTTCATAAAAAAAAAATGATCCAAGGAAACATAAACAAAGAATACTAAAATAAGCCTGATATTCATTACCAAGATTAAGTACCTGCTATTTCAGCAACACGAGGTTCAGTGAAATGACCATTACAAACCACAACAGCATCAAAAATCTCTTCGTCATATTCAAAATTAACATCACTATTGCCAAAGTTATCACATTTTTTCCTTTTAGACCTTACTTTCCACTTGTTACTATCCTCCATTAACCCGACGTACACAACCTCAGTCTCAAACCTCACCAACTGCTCAATCTCAAATTCCCTCGCAAAATCTCGCAAGTAGAATAACACCTCTCTGTGACCCGGAAACCTTCTTGGATCTCTCATCTTATCATTTTTGGGTATAAACGGGTAGTCTCCGAAACCCATCGCTTCTCTAGGCAGGTTGGTGCGGAGAGAGCTGTAGAGGCTCGATTGGATTATGGGTCGGCCTGGATCGAGGCTTAACGGGTCTGGTTCAACCCGCGGATTGTAGACCCATGTACCACCAATTTGGGCATCTCGTTCATAGACGACGACTTTGTGGCCCTCGCGGCTGAGTTCACGTGCGGCCGCGAGGCCGGCGGCTCCTGCTCCGATCACCGCCACGTAGCGAGAGGTGAGAGGAATTGACATTGCTGAACAGTTGAATGTCGGAGAAAATAAATAAGAGGAGAAAAACGTGCCCTTCAAAAATGCTCTCACTGGAAAGTGAGTGCGTATACACTTACGAACATGAAAAATAGTCCAAATACTCTGAGTCCAAAAATTTGTTCTGTAAGAAAACTAGTTCCGTATCAAATTTTGTTTTTGCTCCAAAGATAAATATTTGTTTATCCACTAGGACGGTTGAAGATGTCGTAGTTTCGGGCCAGCTGTTTTTTACTTTCTTCACATGGAGATGTGATCGCTCACGCATGTCTACTGCTAGAACTAAGACTGTTGTTTTCTAATATTATTAGACTCGTTCGTTCATTCCAGGAGTTAGCGCATAGACCAACTGTTACCGTGCGTTGTCGTTTCAATCAAAATTTCAAATCAAATTAAACCAAATCCTAAACCCTCCTATTTATTTTCAAAGTATGATAATTTAAAAAAAAAACATCTAAGCGGAACAGCAATTTGTCCTTTTCTTTTTTTAAAGAAAGGGCTCAGAACAATACAGAAAGAGTTTACTTTTTTTTAATCATATTCCAGTCTTCATCTTTGTACTTCATAACATTACAATTTTACTCAAATCTCTGAAAATAAATAAGTATCTTCAACTCTTCATCTTGATTAAAATTACAACAACACAGGTCGAATTTTGAATGTAAAAAGAAATGGTAACGGCTTTATTTAGAGGTCAGGTCCTTTTGAATGTATTTAGCGAAGTCCTGATTAGCTTCCTCGATCAAGCAGTCATCTATCATCAATTCATCACGATATGTCTCTGGAAGTTGACGCTTGCCGATGCTACTTGCATTATACATTTGCTTTCTCCATTCCTCATACGCTTCACACCCGCATTGTCCAGCTAGCCAATTGTTATACTCAAACTGCAAAAAGACATAGTTCATCCAGTTGCAGGAAAATTTTCTCCAAGAAAATTCAGTAACAAATGTAAGAGTAATAGACAGAGAAAAATGGGTGCTTAAGGCGTACTTGAGATTCACCCATGCGATGGGTGTATCTTTTTGGAACATTTGAAGCTTCAAGAGACATATAAAAGGTTTCAATAGCTTCCATCATCTCTTCTTTTGATGGAATTCCAATCCTACCTGATAAAACACCAGCAATCCATTTGCTTTGAAACTCACACAATGGGAAAGGAGCAACCTAGCAGCAATCACACTAAAGGTGTTATGTTTACAGAGAGTCTAATATTGCATGAAAACAAAGCACTGCGACCTTCAACAGAATACAACCTTCCATGGTAACCCAACAAATGAAAGCCATGGAGCCAGAGCTGGTGGGAAGACATGCTGGTATAATGGCCCCACACGATTATCATCCACCGTCACAATGCCATTGGTTTCAAGAAAAGGGAAGTGATACTTGTACCTTAAAATAACAAAAATTTCAGTTCCATTTCTTTTGAACAGACCCAGATATCCCTCTTTATGTAAATCCTTGTGCATTTAGCCAAAATAATTAATTCAAATTGAAAGTACCCGGTGCAATGTAGAATGATGTCAGCTAGGACAACTCTCCCATTTCGGAATACCACAGAACCATCTTCATGAACACTTTCTATCTGCATTGTTTAAATACAGTAGATCAGGCAATTCTTCCAACATTAGTATCAAACACATACCTCCACAAGCTCCATAAGATAAGTCACTCACTCTTAATCTGGGTGATTTACCATAGAATGAAGCCACAAATTATCATATCCAGGCTGTGCTTCATATGTTTCATTTGCAACTGATCTTGACGTAACATGAACCTCTTTGGCAAACCCAGCAATTTCCCTTGATATATCAGCAGCACTTGCTGAACTTCCAATCAAAATTACTACCTATCCGCATCCGCGTAGGACAATGGATAAAGCAAGACATAATTAGATCTTAAGAAAAAAGAGGTTAACACAAGAAACAAGCTCAGAATGACATATTCACAAACAGAACATAAATATAGAAAAAGAAATATTATGGAAAGTTGCAAGTAGCAAAAACGAAAGAAAATCAATAAAGTAGAATAAAATTAGGATAAGAACTACGAACTTTCACAGTTTAACATCTGACATACGTGTTATCTCCAACGGGCCAAAATTAATGGATTTGAATATTCTGTTTTATATGCAGCGCAAGAAGTCGGAAGTGGCTATTGTAATTTTGTTAGTTACTGAGCACGCAAGAAAAGTATAATTTGAACCACTATAGAGTACAGATGTATGCAAAAACCAGAAAAATTCACTAAGCAAGTCCATGACATGCATCGACATTGAAGCAATGGTATTTTGCATTTGAAACATAAGAACATTATAGAATTGAAGAAGTAGAAATCTAACACATACTTGATCTTGGAATGGGTCAGGAACTCGGTAATTGTGGCTATGCATTTGCTTCCCTGGCCAAGAATTTATGCCTGAAAAGGAACTTCTTTATCATCATATTTTCCCAAAAATAACATCCAACCAAAACATCAAATATTCCTTAACATAGCAGAAAACATGAACAAATAGCAAAAATAAAAGTAGATAATCATCCTAAAGGTAATTCCACTCAAAGAATCTATCTTAGTCATCAGGAAAGATGAGTGTTCCTCAACAAAAACAACCAACCTTGATCCAATCAAACAAGTAAACTAAAAGTCAACCCAAAATTCAGCGTAAGGAATTGGCACCTGGTATTATTTCAGCAATACGAGGTTGAGTATAATGACCATTACAAACCACAACGGCATCAAAAATATCTTCATTAAAATCAAAGTCAATATCTTTGTCATCTCTCTTCTTTTTAGACCTCACTTTCCACTTATAACTATTCTCCACTAACCCAACATGAACCACCTCAGTCTCAAACCTCATCATCTCTTCAATCTCAAACTCCCTCGCAAAATCTTGCAAATAGAGCAACACCTCTCTATGACCCGGATACCTTCTCGGGTCTCTCGTTTTGTCGTTTTTTGGTATAAACGGATAAACTCTGAAACCCATCACTTCTCTGGAGAGGTTGGTGCGGAGAGAGCTGTAAATGCTTGAGTGGATTATGGTTCGGGTCGGATCGAGGCCTAAAGGGTCTGTTTCGACCCGGGAATCGTAGACCCAGGTGCCGCCGATTTGGGCATTTCGTTCGAAGACTATAACCTTGTGGCCTTCCTGATGGAGCTCACGAGCAGCGACAAGGCCGGCAGCTCCGGCGCCGATCACCGCCACGTCGCTGGAGTTGAAAGGAGTTGGCAATGATAAACGGTTGATTGTCATAGGAGTGAGCATTTGACTTGATGTACGATCGGGGTTCTGTTGGTCATTGATTACCGGCATAATCTTGATTCCGAGGATATATGGACGGTTTGGTTATTTTTGGTGATATGACTAACGGGTTTGTGGCCATTGGTTTGGCTTCAGAAATATATGAACCCAGTTACCCAGTTGCGATAAGACACGTCACACAAGCAGCGTTTGGGCGCGTACGTTAACTAGTGAACGGTATCTGTAATTAGCGAATATTGCCACGTTTGTAATTTTTAAATTAATATTGCAGCGTCCTGCGTGCTGCCTCTGTCTGGTGGCAATGTAAATATTATTTTCTCTGTTTATTATTAAAACTTGCAAGCCTAATAGCAAGAGCTTACAAGTTTAACTTTGAGAATAAATATAAATATAAATTCTTTCTCCACTGTATAAAACTGTAATTCAATAATTCAAATGGTAAGATATGCTTGAGTGTAATGTACGCCGTAAAACCAAAAATAAAAAGATGGAGAAATTTATAGTAAAAGAAAAATAATAATAACATTTCTCCTATCCTATTTCCAAGATTTTAATTCCATTAATATATGTAATCTATTTAAGGTAACTGATATTGTTCGTGCTCCAATAATAAGTATTGGTACAATAATAGCATTATTTAGGAGTTATCATTAAAGAGATAAATAGGGTGTTGGGCCTTACATATACATTTAACTTAAGCATACATTTATGAACTCTCTGTCTATATTCTTGAATTGAATGGTTAAGTCTTTAATAGCATCCAAGATTAGGTCATCATCTTCCCATACATCACGAAAGTTTTCTGGGTTGCAGAGCAAGTTCTTGCGACCTGCATATATAATGCATTTTCTTTCTCCATTCTTCCAAGTCTTCACATCCACACTGAGCAGCAATCCACTTGTAATACTCATACTATTAATATTAAAAACATATTCCAAGAAAAGCCATTAAATTTACCCAAAAAAAAAAAAAAAAAAAAAAAAAATTGCAGAGCAAGTTCTTGCGACCTGCATATATAAGCAATTTTCCTTTTCTCCAGTTCTTCCAAAGTGCTTCCAACATCCACCACTGAGCAGCAATCCACTTGTAATACTCAATACTATTAATATTTAAAAACATAATTCCAAGAAAAAGCCATTAAAATTTACGCCAAAAAAAAAAAAAAAAAAAAAAAAAAAACAGAGGAGAGGGAAAAAAAAAAAAAAAAAAAAAAAAAAACAGAGAGAGAAAGAAAAGGAGTAGGATAATAATTAAACAGACATTTACCATAGCAAGTTGTGGAGGGACTGGGGAACCACTTAATAGATAAACAAAGAAATTGCTATACAAGAAGGCTTACCTGAGAAACATCCATATCATGAGTGTATCTTTTTGGAATATTTGAAGCCTCAAGTGACAGGTAGAATGCTTCAACATCTTTCATCATCTCCTACTGTGATGGAAGTACAATCCTACCTGATAAAACACCAGCAATCCACTTGCTTTGGAACTCAAACATTCGGAAAGTAAAAACCTAGAGCCAATCACATATATAGAATCTAGATTATCATTTCTCGGTTCAAGTTGAATATTGCATCAAAAGAAAGCAATATGACATCAAACAGAAAAGAACCTTCCATGGTAACCGAACAAATGAAAGCGATGGGGCTAAAACTGGAGGGAAAACACGCTTGTATAACGGTCCAACACGATCATCATCCACAGTCACAATACCATTTGTTTTCAAGAAAAGGGAAATGATACTTGTAACTTAAAGAAGAGGACAATTATAACTATAAATTCAGCTTCGTTTATGTCTTAGAGATAAACATGTGTGTTTTTATAAGTTAATCATTAAACGAAAGAAATATCTAAGTACCCAGTGGAATGTAGAATGGTATCTGCAAGGACAACCCTCCCATTTCGGAAGACCACAGAACCATCTTCATGCACACTTTGTATCTGCATTATTATAAAAGAGTACAATTTTAGAACAAGCTATGCTCCTGGTACCAGGGTGCAAATTGACGCTAGCTGACAAATTTCTCAAGTTAAAATCCTCACTCCTAATCTGTGATTTACCATAGAATGACGCCACATGTTATCATATCCAGGCTGCTCTCCATGCGTTTCAGCTACAACTGATCTTGAGGCAACATGAACCTCTTTGGCAACTCCAGCAATTTCCCTGGATATTTCCCTTGCACTTGTTGAACTGCCAATCAAAACTACCACCTGTTTGCACGAAATACAATTTGAATCTTTAGGCGCAAAAGAAAGGGTCAACAGTGCACACAGATATCTATTGAATAGAAAAAGAAATATGTTCCAAAATTTTGTGAGTAGCAAAAACTCAAATTGGACAAGAGAGCTATGGTTTTTACAGTTTGATTATGGTTTTTAGAAAAGAGAAAGGCGTGATTTTTGTAAAAGTTCTGTCTGGGTAAGCATCAACTTTACCTGACATTCCAATTGGATAACATAATTGTACAAAAGGTGGTAGCTTTGTTAAATTTACAAAGCAAATAAGAAGATTAATTGCACTTCGTACCAATATAAATGAATGGATATGTATAAAGCCAAAAATCTTTATATTAGCAATCCGTAAAAATGCATCAACATTAAAGCAACAGCTTTCTGAATCATCTAAAAGCAGGTAAAGGAGAAGTATAAATCTGACACAGACTTGATCTCGAAAGGGCTCAGGAACACGGTAATTGTGGCTATGCAATTGCTTCCCTGGCCAAGAACCGAGGCCTGAAAAGAAAGAACGTCCTTAGCTATTATCATCTTTTCTTACTGAACAAAGAACCTAGAACAAATACAAAAAGTAAAGTTAAGGAATCATTGCAAATGAAACAAAATGGACAACATTTATTTACGCTCTACATTAAACCAATTGAAAAAAATACTTTTTTCAAAAAATTTGTTATTTTATTTTTTTCAATAATAGTCAGAAATATTTTTTTAAAATTAAAAACACTGTTTTTGATTCATTTAATATATAGAGTGAGTTTATATGTAGGTAAATCCTTCTAAAACAAAAACCAAAAGCCACAATGACCCATCAGCGAACATAAATTGTTCCTAAAAAAAAAGGTCCAACTATGATTAACCCAATATTCAGTATAAGAAATTAAGTACCTGGTATTTCAGCAATACGAGGTTGAGTGTAATGAACATTACAAACCACAACAGCATCAAACATATCTTCATAAAATTCAAAATCAATATCATTATCACCTCTCTTCTTTTTATACCTCACTTTCCACTTATTACTATTCTTCACTAATGCAACATTAACCACCTCAGACTCAACTTCACCATCTCTTCAATTCCGAACTCCCTCGCAAAATTTTGCAAGTAGAGCATCGCTTCTCTGTGACCCGGATACCTTCTCGAATCTCTCGTTTCGTCGTTTTTGGGTATGAACGGATAAACTCTGAAACCCATCGCTTCTTTGGGGAGGTTGATGCGGAGAGAGCTGTAGAGGCTCGGGTGGATTATGGTTCGACTAGGGTCGAGGCCCAACGGGTCTGATTCGACCTGGGGATCGTAGACCCAGGTGCCACCGATTTGGACATTTCGTTCGAAGACTACGATATTGTGGCCTTCCTGACGGAGCTCGCGAGCAGCGGCAAGGCCAGCAGCTCCTGCGCCTATCACCGCCACGTGGCGGGAGTTGAGAGTAGTTGGCATTGCCAGACCGTTGACTGTCGGCGCAAATAAATAGGAAATGGAAAACGTGCCTTTAGCACATATATATCGACGGCAGCTGCTTTCTGTTCACAACTGTTGTAAGCATAAATTGAAACATGTCGTGTTCAAAGCACGTGACAGTTGATAAACTACCTAATTTTGGCACTTATTTAATTTGTTTATCTATTTTTTCACAAAGGAAAGGGTCAAGAGTACAGTAACATTTGACTTTGTTTCAGTTTTCTTCATATCTCTGCAAAACATTATAATTTTACCCAAATCTCTTAAATTACCATTAATTTTCAAAATGCATTTACAGTAATAATAAATTATCATAACTGCATTTTGAAAATTAATTGTAATTGTACCACTTGATTAACTGAATTTAGCAGCAAAACAATTCAGTGGCTATAAAATCAATAAGTCAGAACATAATGTAGCTCGAATTTATTCAATCTTTGGTAAGAGAAGAAACGGTAAATTGGTTATAGGTAGCTAATTAATGCGAATTTGTGATATGAATTGTCATTTACAGCTGCGACTGCAGAAAATCCTTTTGAATGTATTTAGCAAAGTCCTCATAGGCGTCCTTGACCAAACATTCATCCATCAATTCATCACGATACGTCTCTGGTCTTTGGAGCCTGCCTATGCTACTAGCATTATACATTTGATTTCTCCATCCTTCGAACTCTTCGCAACCGCATTGAGCAGCAAGCCAATTATTATACTCAAACTGCAAAAAAACATACAAAAGATATTACTATGACAGTATATCAAATAATCAAAGGCACATTCATTACAGATATGCCTCAGGCCATAATTCATCCAATTGAATCTATTAGATTTGTAGAAAAAGTTCCCCCCGAGAAAATTCACGAACAAAAATATAGAGAATATGGATTATATTCAACAAAATATCAATTTGATTGCCAGCAATGTCTCTGTTAATCTATCATATGTACAGGCTTCAGAGTCTCCATCCTGCCAGATAATGATAATGGGCCTCTATAAAAGCATGGGAGCTACCTAATAGGTATTAACAAAGAAAACGGGGTACTTAAGCTTACCTGAGAATCACCTATACGATGAGTATATCTTTTTGGAACATTTGAAGCTTCAAGAGTCATATAGAAGGCTTCAACTGCTTCTATCATCTCCTGTTGCAATGGAATTGCAATCCTGCCCGATAAAACGCCAGCAATCCACTTGCATTGTAATTCAATCAATGGGAAAGGGGCAACCTAGAAGCAATTACAGTAAAGGTGTTATTTTTACAGTCTAATTTTGCATCAAAACGAAGCACAACACCATCAAACAGAATAGAACCTTCCATGGTAACCCAACAAATGAAAGCCATGGAGCCAGAACTGGTGGGAAGACATGCTGGTATAACGGCCCCACTCGATTATCATCCACAGTCACGATGCCATTAGTTTCAAGAAAAGGGAAGTGATACTTGTACCTTAAAATAACAAAAATTCAGTTCCATTTCTTTTGCTCAAACCAAGATATCCCTCCCTCTCTATATGTATGTGCGTGTTTAATTGCTAAAATAATTCAAATTGAAAGTACCCAGTGCAATGTAGAATGATGTCAGCTAGGACAACTCTCCCATTTCGGAATACCACAGAACCATCTTCACGGACACTTTCTATCTGCATTGTTTTGATACAGTCATTTAAGATCAGGCAATTCTTCTGATATCAGTATCAAAAAGATACCTCCACCAGCTTCTTAAGAGAAGCCACTCACTCTTAATCTGGGTGATTTACCATAGAATGAAGCCACATGTTATCATAGCCAGCCTGTGCTTCATATGTTTCATTTGCAACTGATCTTGACGCAACATGAACCTCTTTGGCAACCCCAGCAATTTCCCTTGATATATCAGCAGCGCTTGCTGAACTCCCAATCAAAACTACAACCTAACCACATAGAGGTGAAAAGCAAACCATAATTAGTTCTTAAGAAAGAGGAGGTTTGTCACAAGAAACAAGCTCAAAATAACATATATTTACGCACAAAATATATACATACATGTGTATATTTAAAATAAAGATGCTCCGAAATTTGCAAGTAGAAGAAAGGAAACAAAATCAGAAAAACCAAAATAAAATTGGGACAAGCATTGTGAGTTTTCACAGTTTTACTATTCGATAGAAAGTATATATGCCGTCCCAAAACTAATGGACTTGAACATTCTATTTTATTTGCATCTCCTTGTACTTTACATAGCATCAGTTCTATACTTGAATGGGTTGAAAACATGGCAATTGATCTAACATTCTAGTCAGCCAACATCATAATGCTAGAGGCAGTAGTTTTGTGCTGAAGTTACTAAAAAAGCAAGAAAAATATAATTTGAATCGCTACAGAGTATAGATATATGCAAAAACTAAAAAGTTCAATAACCAAGTCCATGACATGCATCAAAATTGAAGCAGCAGTATTTTGCATTTCAAACATAAGAACATTATGAGACGAGAAGAAGTAGAAATCTAACACATACTTGATCTTGGAAGGGTTCAGGAATTCGATAATTGTGGCTATGCATTTGCTTCCCTGGCCAAGAATTTATGCCTGAAAAGTACTTCTTTATCATCACATTTTCCCAAAATAACAAAAACAAATAACCAAAACATTATAACTGGAAAAGAAAAAAAAAAACCAATGGCAAGAATAAAAATGAATAGTCCTCGCAAAAGTAATTCCAATACAAGAACCTATCTTAGTCATCAAAGATGAATATTCCCTAAAAGAACAACCAACCTCAACCAATCAAACAAGCAAACCAAAAATCAACCCAAAATTCAGCATAAGGAATAGACTACCTTGTATTTCAGCAATCTGAGGTTGAGTGTGATGACCATTACAGACCACAACAGCATCATAAATCTCATCTTCAAAATCAAAGTCAGCTTTCTTCTTTTTAGACCTCACTTTCCACTTATTACTATTCTCCACTAACCCAATATTAACCACTTCAGTCTCAAACCTCACCATCTCTTCAATCTCAAACTCCCTCGCAAAATCTTGCAGGTAGAGCAACACTTCTCTATGACCCGGATACCTTCTCGGGTCTCTCGTTTTGTCTTTTTTTGGTATAAACGGATAAACTCTGAAACCCATCACTTCTCTGGGGAGGTTGGTGCGGAGAGAACTGTAAAGGCTGGAATGGATTATGTTTCTGCTGGGATCAAGGCCCAACGGGTCTGATTCGACCCGGGAATCATAGAGCCAGGTGCCGCCGATTTGGGCATCTCGTTCGAAGACTACGACATCGTGGCCCTCCTGATGGAGCTCACGGGCAGCAGCAAGGCCGGCTGCTCCGGCACCGATAACGGCCACTTGGCGGGAGTTGAGAGTAGTTGGGAGTGATAAACGGTTGATGGCCATAAGAGTATGCAGTGGACATAGGACCGGGTTCTGTTTTATTTAGTCTTGGTCATTGACTAATGATCATTTGCATGATTTTGATTCCGAGGATATATGGGCGGGTTGACGGGTTTGGCTTCGGCGGCCTAATGATAATTTTCACTAATAAATTTTTCAAAAAGTTAGAATTTCCTCCTAGAGTTATTTTTATTATAAATATACTCCAAATTCAACATTTATGTGTAATTGCATCCTAATTTTTTTTATGGAATTTGCAATCCTAATTGAATGTAAAGATTGAAATACAATAATATATTTGATGAGATCCACAAAAAAATTCCGGTAAATTTAAAACCAAGGTGAAATTCAATTTGATACACACCTTTTCAATAAATTTTCCAAAAAAATTAGACCTAAAATAAATTTGATTCCCTTTAATTTCCTCTTTCCCTATTTCAATAAACTTTTATGTGGATTTCATTAAATATATTATTTTTATTTTGAATCTTAACCCAAAATCAATTTTGGTGTGCAATTATAACTAATTATTGAATTTGAGGTATATTTGTAATAAGATTGCTTGAAGTTCTGAAAGTTTAGGGTGAAACGTATTATTAAGCTGGTTGTGAAATATAAGGTTGCACACGGTCTCAGGAACCAGACTAAAAAATTTTATCCAATCGAATTGGAATCGAAAAAGGATACCGAACCAGGTTTGACGGTTTTTTTTCAATAGCAAAAAACAGAATCCTGGACTTTCTAACAATCATTAAATTGATTTCTTGTTTAATTATGCAATGTCTGGATATGTTGTAATTTTGTTTGTGAGTTCAGTAAGTGATATATATTGATATGTCAGAGATTGTTGAGATTGCCAAACAGGTCCGTATAGTCTTAAGATCAATTGCAGTTGATATATTTATAATCTGCCTGGATATGAAATCACGTGGCTTCATTCCAATGCTAAAATTAAACCTTATAATGCTTTGTTTGGAAAAGAAAGAAAATCGAAAATAATGGAAGAAACATGGAAGAATTACCAATTTTTTTTACATAGTTATTTTTCACCTTTATTTATAATTGTGGATTTATAACTGTGGATGAGGATGACAATTGTATAACACCATAATTATTAATACGTGTCAGCTTGAAAATCCGCCCGATTTTAATTTTAAACTATTATAAGAAGGAAAATCGAATTGAATTAGTTGCTCCATGGTTGGACCAATCAACCAGCATAGAGCCAATTGATTATTTTTAATTATTTTTTGATTATATTATGATTATTTTAAATTATAATTTATTTAATTAATATATATATTTTTAGTCTTTTATGACCCATTAATTTAATCATTGATTACCGATTAATTTATTTAATAGACTCAATATCAAGATCGGATTTAATAACACTACGTAGGACCATTGCAGAAGTATTATATTTCCACCAGTTTTGGCTCTTGGGTTTTCATTTGTCATCATGGATGTGTTTAGCCTATTTTGATTGTATTCCGTAACAACTTTGTAAATGCATTATTTTTTATAGTATTGAAAATAACTTTTAAATGTTAATATAGTCTTTTATAAAAAGTTAAGATTGTGTTCGGCAACATCTTTTTAAGTAAACGCTAAAAACTATTTAAAAAGTTGTTCGTTAATATAGTATTTGGACTAACTTTTAGAGATTATAGTAGCGTTTTGTAAAAATTAACTCATGAAACGTTTAACTTTTAGCGTTTTATAAAAAGCTATTAAAACAACTAATAGCTACAAAAACAGTTAAGCTTGGCGAACAAACTCTAATTCTTGTAACATTTAGTTTTTAGCGTTTGATAAAAAATTACTCAAATAGCTAAACTTCACCAAAACATTTAATTTTGCCGAACAATCCATTTAGCAAAATGTTTTATTTATGTACTATGTAATTTCAACTGTAAATTAAATAGATAATCTAATAACATTAATAATAATAATAATAATAATTTGTGATCAATAACGATCTAACCTCCATAAAAGTGAGAACATAAATGTAATTATTTTTACGCTAAAGAGATTACACCTTATAATAATAATAATAATTGTGTGCAATTGGTAGCGGCTTATCCCATCCTCTATGTATGAATTGCATTCCAAGTGAAATATACCTGCAAGTCATAAGAAAGTGGCGAAGTTCAGCACAGCTATGAACCAGTCATATATTTATTTAAATTACTAAGGGCCACGAGTCCAAAAAATTGCAGCATGTCGGCACATCTTTTTGGGACATGTTACTTCACTTATGCCTCTAATGAGACCAAACCCATGTCTCATCATTCCTACCATTTCGTATCTCTCAATTTTCAAACTAATAAAATGCACATAATGCGAGTCATACTTTTCAATTTTCATTTTTTCCCCTTTCAAAGTAATAAAATTAATCTCCTTTTCCCTTTACTTCAAAAATTTCTAAAAACTGCCATAATGATTTTTTATACTGAGCAAAAAGAAAATCTAAATAAAGCAAACAAACATCACTCAAAGAGGAGTCACTGTCACAGACTCACAATGCTAGTTAGGTAGCCTTAGGAAGTCACTTTCACCAGAAAGCAGAGGTCGGATTTTACATAAATCGATAAGGATTGGTAGGTTTAATTGGCCAACAAAAATTTATTATCTATAATTGAATAACACTATTTATATAATTGAGAATAAAGTCAATATATTCATTTTAATTTTTAATTATATGTTATATATAAGAGATATTTTATAAATATTATATTTATCGACATAATATTTATACTGTTATTTAGAATTGGAGAGATGAATCATGAGACGACAACTATTAGTATAATTAATAATTATTAAAATAATTAATTTTATCCATTAGGATCTAAGCATCAATATTATGGCACAGATTAGGCGCGATTTGCTTTTTTTTGTAATTTTCTTAATAATCAAGATATAAGAAAAAAAATTACAACAACAATATTCAACAATATAATTAATAGCCAATCAAATGACTGGGAAGTTGTACATACCATTAACTATGGACAACCTGTTTAGATTTTGATCCAAGGGAATTTGGGAGGCCTGACCCTACATTGTTTTTTAATCCCACTTCTCTTCTCATCCATAAAACCAGTGGACGTTATCATTTTGTTTGGGTCTCCTGTTAAAGAAACCACAATAGATATTTTATTAAAGAGCTATAACCTGATTATGTGTGATATGATTTGTAGAAAATATAGACAGCGAGAAATTTTAAATTGAATCATCTTCGATATAAAAAATTATTATTGTTACCAATACTTAAATAACATCATTTTACAAAGTACTTAAATATATTGCAAAAAAATTTCGACAACCGAATAGCTACAAACTACCAACTTTAATTAAAAAAATCATTTTTTACAATATATCACGAAGTATCATAAGATATTTACAACCGAAAATATTATTTTGTAGTAGGATAATTTTCAAAATATCATGAAGCATTACAAGAAATGGTAACCAAATCTATTACTTTACAATCCACTAACTTTGTAACCATAGCGAAATTAGAAAAAATTGTTTGGAGATGCGAAATAAACTCTGTAGGTGAAAGATATAATTTTTATATATCTTAAGGATTAATAATAACCTAGTATCGAATATTAGATACTATTAGCCCAGTTGAAACAAATGAATCATGGCTATAGAATTTATTTAGAAATGAAATATGTTACAATTTAAGATAATGAATTCAATTGAATTCCACAAAATTATATTTGGAATATATTCTTAAATGAAAATTCATTTGTCTTTATTTATTATAACACCCTTGACATAATAATTTAATAAAAATAAATAACAAACACCAATTATATTTATTATGTATAATATAATATCCTGTCATTTTTTATTAAAATATAAATAATAAATTTCATATAAATAAGTACACTAATATTTCACACTAATTAATTAATTATATAAGTAGTAACATATATTGTTTATTAAGTAATTAATTTGAAGCAAAAAAAAAATATTATTTTTAATTGCATTTGAAAATAATTGTTAATGCTCAGTTTCTATAGTTTTATAATAATGATAACTAACGTAATTACTAGACTTCAAAAAAAAAAAAACGTCATTACAGGTTTGCAAATTTCTAAAAAAAAATATAAATTAACTTCATTATTGGATTAAAAAAAAAATAACTGTTATAGTTTGGAATTTTTCAAAGAAAGTAAATAAAAAGGAAAAAAAAAGTAAAAATAGTTGAGTTTTACAGTGGAGGGTAATTTTGTTAATAAATATTTTAATGGTCAATTTTGTGGAATCCATTCTATCAATTTTAGTAGAATTTGAGTTAGGTATATCTAATTTCATAGAATTTTGTATTTATTTTCATTCCAAACACAATATTTTAGACTTCTAAATGAATTTCACAAAATTTTATGTAATTCATTTATTTCAAACGGATTCTACAATTTAATAGCGGTAAATTTTAATTTTTTATAAGAATTTTTTTTTTAGGTGTAGTAGTCTATCTAATTTTGCAAACAACCACTTTTTGTAAATTGTTAAGCAGTATTAAAAAAAATTCGCCATCAAAATTATTACTTTGTAATATAGTCACATCGCAAAAAAATAGCCCTTTCTTACACATTATTAGGAATTTTTACAAAATATTTATAAGTAGATTTGTTATCTTGTGATCTGATAATTTAAAAAATAGCCACATTTTACAAAATATTAATAACAACATTCATTATTTTGTAATAATTTTTTTAAAAAATTAATTTATTGTGTATTTGGAATTTTATAATAGCTTTGTTTTACTTGAAGGCATTGTAGAAAATGCCACTACTTTATCTTCATTACTTGTAAATCCTGGCTTGGTGACTAGTTTACACGTATAGAATAGCAAATAAGATCACAATGCAAAATGAAAATTGTTAAAATGAAACTAATTATTTAAAGTTTTAATTAAAATTTTGACAAATTGGTTAGGTGTTGATTGTTTTTGGCATGAGGAAAAAATAAAATAAAATGAAAATTGCATGGAAAAAAAGAAAAAGACTGATTGAAAGGGAAGGGGCAAAGTAGTAAATAGAGAGAGGAAAAAGACATATTAAATAACCACTATCGTGCTTTTGCAGTTGAAACTGTCATCTCTTTTAAAGCCAAAATCTATTTGGCATAAGAAAATGGAGAGAGAGAAAGAGAGAAAGAGAGAGAATACCATAAAGAGAAAGAATGGTCCCACACAAGCCACTGAGCAGAGCTCATCGGCCTCAGGCCTCTCCTCTCCAAAAGAGAGAGAGAAAGAATTTATCTTTCTAATGGGTTCTCTTCCTTCTCTTTACCCGCTGATCTGATTCCTTTTCTTTTTTCTCTCCTTTTTCTTTTCCCTACCCTTCCCTTCCCTTCTCTTATATAATATTCCCTCTTTGACTTAACTTGTCTCTCTTTCTATAGATATTATCATTTGCTTTCTCCTTCTTCCTCTTCTTCTGGGTTTATAAAGAAAGAGCACCAGTTGTATTGTTTCTGGGTTTTCTTGCCTCTTGGTACTTTCTCTATCTTTTCTCTACATTTTTTTTTGGGATTTGAGATTTTTCTAATTTTGTCATGTATCTGTATCTTTTGTGTATGAGCTGGAACTGGTATTTGATCTGATTAAATGTCATTTTGTATGATATTGGAATTGTTCATGTCAAGCCAAAGAAGACAAGTTAAGATTCCGATTGCTTATCACGAGGTTCATGGGTTTATATTTTTTATTTATTTGTTTTTTTTTTTTTGGTCGTTTTCAAAGCTGTTTATCCTTTCAGCTTGTATTAATAAAAAAATATGCGACCTTTAAGAAAGTCTCTCTTCGTACTGCAGTTTTTTTTTTTTTTCTCTTTTTAAAATTTTTGTTGTTTATTAGCCTCTCGTGAAGATATTTTTGGCAAGATTTTCCGTCTTGTAGACGGAAGGATGTTAGTTTATGGGCCAAAAGAACTCTCGTGAAAGATATTTTTGGCAAGATTTTCCCGTCTTGTAGACGGAAGATGTTATTTATGGGCGCAAAAGAAAAAAGAAGAAATTTTTTTTTTTTTGGTCGTTTTCAAAGCTGTTTATCCTTTCAGCTTGTATTAATAAAAAAATATGCGACCTTTAAGAAAGTCTCTCTTCGTACTGCAGTTTTTTTTTTTTTTCTCTTTTTAAAATTTTTGTTGTTTATTAGCCTCTCGTGAAGATATTTTTGGCAAGATTTTCCGTCTTGTAGACGGAAGGATGTTAGTTTATGGGCCAAAAGAAAAAAAATCTTGAGTTTGTTCTGGGTAAGCAAAGAGCATTTGATCCATTTCCAAAAATTTTATCTTTCAATCAAAACCTTTTTAGAATATAATTGGTCCTGTTGCATGAGTTCCCTCGCACCCTTTTGTTCTATCCCAATCCAGATTCTTTACTCAGTCTTGAACTAAAATGGCGTGGCAGCATTTCTACATTATGCATAATTATCCTTTTTATTTTGAGTTTGTGTCACAGTGGAGCTTGTATATTCTTTCTATGGCCATGCCTGAATTTTTCTTGACGTTTTTTTTTTTTCTTCCAGTCGATGGTTTGAGAAGAAACATGTTTGAATTGACTTCAGCAAGTCTGACCTTTGTCTTGTAGCGAATAGCGATCAAGGAATTGCCAGAATAGGCAGAGATAATGCTTATAGGGGAACCAAATCATGCTTTTTCACACTATAGCAGGGTGCTATCGGAATTCATAACTAATTGCATTGTCCAAACTATGGGCATAGTTGTTGGTCATTTAACACCTAACTAGTAAGTTGGTAAAAGGCAGCATAGTGAAAATACAACTTGTTGAGGAAATGCAAGGAAGAGGAGGTGGTTTCAATGGCTAAGCACTTGAGATTGCTCCTGCATTTGAAATTGAAGTCTATGTATAAATAGCTTCTCTGGCTTGCTATTTTGGTGAATAATTGGTTCCACTTTGCGTTTATGTTGGTTTATTAAATGCTTTAAATGGCTGGTAATCTGCACATGGTTGGTTGTGCTTATGTACTAACATAATTAAGCAGTTGTACTTTTATCCTTCAATTTTTAAAGCATAACTGAAAATTCTGGCCCAAACAAGAGAATGAGGAGGAAAAGGTTAAAATAGGAAGTTCATCGTTGAACTGCTAGATGTTTGCGTTTGTTTGTGGCTTAGGTTTTTAGAACCTTTATTGCTGTTAAACAATGTAATTTATGCTCTAGATTTTTTGCTAAATAGACGAATTAAATACTTCTATACTTGAGCTAATTTTGATTATTCAAATGCTTGCCTAGCAATGATAGTTCAGAAGCTAATCCTAGATTGACTAGTTTCCTCACTATAACTGATGTTACCTATTTTACAGCCAGCAACATTAAGCTTTTCTGGAATGGAGAATCAATTACTGGGAAAAATCCTTGTGAAACTTGTGGATTTAAGGATGCCAGATGTGATCTAATCTGATGCACTTGTTCAATTGTAGTATAGAGAAAATGATGATGCAAGGAGAATTTGATATAAATCCAGTTCAAATATATACAGATTCACTTAAAGAAGTTTTAAAGCAGACAATGATCAATCAGGATGTTGTATTCAGAAATCAGGTATGATCTCACCCTCGCACTACAATATGTTGTTAGCTAGATTAACACCATATGATTCTTTTGAGTGGGTCAAATCCTTGGGCTGCTTCTGAAATATATTCCTTATCTGATTCCCCGTAACTTGTCTTGACTTCTTAAACAATGTGGATGGCTCTTTGATTATATCCACCTAATATTGCTCATCTTAAGGTTATGCAAATACAAAAACCATACCTGTGCCTCTATCTTCTCAGCCCACCTCTATATGCTACTGAAATTTCTTGAGATCCATGAACTCCAGTAGTTCTGGATTATACAATTATCAGTAATGAAGGACCTCAGTTCTGAGCACTTACTATATTGTTACTAATATTTACTTAGGTCCATGAACTCCATCGGCTATACAGTGTACAAGAATCTCTAATGAAGGATTATGGTTGGAAAGAGTGTAATGGATACTGTTCATGGAATCCAAAAGCTCAATCATCTCTACTTCCTCTTACAAATCATACAAGATACAAATCACCGGCAAAACAAACCAGATTCTTAACTACCGAGGTAAGTGAAGTACCAGTTTTGAGAATGCTATTACAACTTACAAGTGATCCTTCTTAATGCATTGGGGTAGAGTGTTTTGGGTGCTTTTGTTATTCTGTTACTTTTTATTGTCTCTTTTTGTGACTCTGGGGCATGAGACATACCATATGATAGTCTAATCAAGAAGATCAATTAAAAGTTGGCAATACCAGTGATGGAGACTTTATTAGAATTATATTTCAATTTGTTTTTTTGTCCTTGAGAGAACATGTAATGTCTGTATGATTAAAGAACAGTCAGACATGATATATCATATCATCTACCAATGACTTGGTTACATAAAATAAGAATGATGATGCCATGAACTTTATAGTTTTAATCGGCTAAGTTTGTCTTTTAGGTGGATTCAACTCCTCTTCTAAGCCAAGAGGTGTTCAAGGATTGTGAAGATGCATATTACAAGCTTCAGCATAGATCTCTTGATCTTCAACTTTCTGCTGATGAATTCATTAACAATGGTGAGGAGAATATTCCAATGAAAGGGAATGTTCAAAATTCTTTAGAAGGCCCTGTAGACTTTAAGCTTCCAATTTTGGGTGATAACTCTCCAAATGCAGAGGAATTGAAGCTTTCCCTTAGCACTGGAGTGGATAATAGAACAGTAGGACATACAACGAGAACATGTTTCACTAAGAAATCTTTTTCCTGCTCTCAAAATGTGATTGATTTAGAAGAATTGAAAGAAAGGATACTAGATAGATATGTAAAATGCCCACCACCTCTTGGCCGTGCATGTCTAGAAGTTCATTCTAAAGGAAAGCATGACTCACAAACTTCTGACTTCCCTGGTCCAGACATTTCAATCAGTATAAAGAAAGATCTTTCTCATGAGATTGCAGAAAGTAGCTCTATTCAAGAATACAGTGAATGTTATCAAGAGCAAACCTTTTCTAACGAGGGTATATTAAATCATTTTTACAAAACTAATTATATTATTATGGGCTTGATTTGTGCTTGAGGATTCTCATCTTGAAAATTAAAAGATATTCTCATTTAATGAGTTAGCTCTTTTTGTTTGTTGGTTTCTCATACAGGAAATAGAGAGTGCCATGATGATGTCCCATCTAATGATCATTTCACTGAAATGCAACAGTTTACTTTATATCGAGGCCAGCAGTTTGACCTTAACAAAGTTCATCTGGATGATGACTCTTGTTGCTCAGACGATCATATGCTTGTCTACCCTTCCACAGCAAGCTCAAAAGGCAATTCTCATGGACTTGCAGGCAGCATGCACGATGGAACTTGTCCAACTGCGTTTCAGGGAAACAAAGTAAATCAGTTCTCAAATGGAGTTTCTGCAATGCTAAAACAAGATAATATTGTAAATCTTGCTCTTGCAAATTCCAACCGAGAAAATAAGTCCGCAGACAATTGGACCAGAAATACTGGAATAATTAGTAGTCCAGAGTCCATTATTAGGACCGCAGTAGACATTTCTGAAGATCTTGGTTGCTGCAGTGGTCACAAAAATGGTATTGATGAGCTGAAGTCAAAACTTGCTAGGGAAGTGAGTAGTGAGAAAAGTGAGATAGAAAATGCTCTTTTTTCATGTAATGATCAAAGCCAAAATACATGTCAAGATGGACATGGCAATAAGTCACCCTCCTCTTGCAAGTCCTACTGCATCTCTGATAATGATTCAAGCAGTGCAAAGACAAAGTATTCTGGCATCACATCAGGTGTTTTGAAAACCCAATTAGGATCTCAAGTTGGTGATGTGATAAGTGGAGAGCATGATCAAAAAACATGTGACGGCATTGACATTAAAAATGACTGCTACACCAAGAAAGAAGAATCAGCTAATGTAGATGTTTTGATAAAAGAAGCAGCTGAAATGCTCATACAGATATCTGCAAAGTGTTCGGCTAGTCATCAATATTTGTATGCAAAAGTGGGATCCAAGCAGATGGAAGATGACAAGAGAGAGCAAACACAATGTTCTTGTGATTCTTTTGAGTTAATGACTTTAAACCTAACAGAAAGCAATCTGGATGACAATTCTGTGTCATCGAAGCCAATTGAAGTGGATGACATAGAGACGAAGGATTTTGGATTTAAGTTTAGACGGGGGCGGAGAATGAAAGATTTCCAGAAGGAGATCCTCCCCAGTCTTGCATCTCTTTCTAGACATGAAATTCTTGAAGATATAAACATTATGGAGGGAGTTCTAAGATCCCGTGAATACCGAAAAATGAGAGCCAAAATGGCAGCACATGTTGACAACTGGGTTGCACCAGTGAGAAGTAGACGGTCAAGAACTAGTTATGCTGGAAGAAGAAATTTTTCATGAATAGTTCAATTAGAAGTTGATAATAGCATTATAACCGAACTTAAACCCACTCTTGGTTCAACATACCATCACTACATAGTGGTTGGTATCCCCAGATTTAGAAATTACAGTCAATTACTTTCAGAAAGATCATTGGTTATTTTGTTTTCATTCTTGCAAGAGCAATCTTTCTTCCGACCTTCGTTGCACCACTTATTTTGAGGCTGGATGGTGCTTTTACAATTTTGTTCTTTTTGTCTGTGTTATCTGGGATTAAAAAAAAAAAAAAAAAAGCTCGGCATGGTGCTTTTTATCAATTGTTGTTCTTTTTGTCTGGTGTTATCTTGGGGATTAAAAAAAAAAAAAAAAAAAAATCAGAATCTCCCTTTTCCTCTGGGATTAAAAAAAAAAAAAAAAAAATCAGAATCTCCCTTTCTCATGATGACTTGCTTCTTCACTGATGGCAAACAAAGTTATTAAGTGAATCGAAGTGTTAATGTTGTGCCTGTATAAATGATAATGCAACAAGTTTAATGATCTTTAGCTTCTATATACATTTTCACGGTTCTAATCTTCTCCAATATCTTTAATGGAATGCACAAACTTTGAGACCACTCACCCATTTATTTTTATAGCATGTTATGATCTAAAAAGTTGTCACAAAAACCTCTATGTTTCACTGTTTAGAGTCTAATACAGATTAAGATTGGAGTATCAAGTTGGTATTTTCTCCTTATATACACATATTTCTAGGTTTGGTTAGAGCAGCAGGAAACAAGGGGCATAGTGGGGGTCCATTTGCAATTCTTTTCAATAAGCCACATGCCAAATCTCATTTTCAACTTTGCTTCCATTCTCAGAAACACAAGGAAAGTATCTCCGCAACTTTCATCAGATTTTCAAAAGAAAACTTCTTAGTTGAAGAATGTTTGGAATTTTCTGATGTTTTGTGGTGTTAAAAGAATAGCAAATGAATATTTTTCTCGTTGAAGGAAAAATTAGACTATTTCAAAGAAAAACGATTTCTTATTCAAAAAAAGGAAAACTTTTTTCGGATAATGATATACTTAATACAGACTTAAAATACATTTATTTAAGCTATTGATCATTAACGGTCACTGGATATCATCGAGAAAGCAAATTGTTTTTGAATTATCAAAGTCCAAAGGTAATTCTAGATGTGTAAGATGATGATAACACATATTATAGGTAAGATTGCTATGACAGATGTGTTTTCTTCTCTTTGATTTTCTTTAGTGTGATAAGCACAGGGAAAATAAACAAATGCAAGCAATATGAAGAGTGGAGGCAAAGCCACTAAAAGCCACCCTTTGGGAACAAGCATGCTTCAATAATGAATCCAAAAGGCATAAAAATGCAAAATGGTCCAAGTTCTTGAGTGAAAGAAACTGCTTTCAAATCAAATTATGGTTGGCTGGTTTCTTATAGTGGATTAGATATTCATGGGCAAGTGGAGCTCAGATGATGCCACATGCAGCCAAATTCTTCACCTAAATCTTTGAATATTTATGCACTTGCACATACCCCACCACTTTTACAGTGGGATAATCTAAATATTAAAAAGTGAAAGGTTTTTCATTTAAAAAACAAAATACTAAACTTGTCTTCCCCTTAGAAAAATTAGAAACTGCAATTGCCTAGGCACATTCTGCAAGCAGTCCCTATATACACAAGAGTCCTATGATAACTTTTATAGAGTTAACAAGTTTTTCTTTTTTCTTTTTTATGAAACCCTTTTCTTGATATTTTCTTTTTCATGTTTTCTTGAATCCTTCTCCTTTTTTTTTAAATGACACTACTGCAACTTGCAGCATGATATTTTACAGCCACCTTTGTTTCTACTCCACCATTCTTATTCATCCATCTGTTGTGTAATCTAAGCCTGTTGGATCAGTAACAGGCAGTGGTTACTCTCGCCATGAAAGAAGGTGCAGGTGTATGTGCTTCAGTTAATGAGGCTGCACAAAGTAGTTTCAGGCAAGCTCACCATTTATTCAGTTGTATTTCTGATCATAAAAACCAAAAAAGAAGCATTCAAGAAGTGAGTCTGATTGCTCAAGGTGCAATAAAAGAATTCAATAATCTACTCACTCTTCTTGATGAATCAACAAAGTCTAATCCTAAAAGAATTAGGAAAGGTCCTTTGCCACTTTTCCAATATGACATTAACCCACTTGTATTCATGGATAATAGTCTTAGTCAACAACCTCAGAAAGTCAAACAGCTGTTCCCTTTTCACAGTCTTCATCAATCAACCAATTCAATGATGATCCCTACAAATAGTTCCAAGAACAGAAGTCTTAAGCCAAAAAGCTCTTCTTTTTTAAGCTTGGAATATGGAAATGTCGTGCACAAGCCATTTGTACTTCATTGCTCATCATCTGAAACCAGTGCGTTCTCCAAAAGCAAGAATGGGAGGAAGAGTGAAGAGGCAGGAACTAGGTGCCTAGCCTCAACTGGTGGATGTCACTGTTCAAAGCGAAGGTAAATAAAATTAATGGTAATTAATGGATGTTTTCATGTTTCTTAATTTATTTCGTTCTTGAATTATTATATTAACAGGAAACTGAGAATCAAGAAAATAGTTCAAGTGCCAGCTTTAAGTGGCAAGTTAGCTGATATACCACCAGATGATTATACTTGGAGAAAATATGGACAGAAACCCATAAAGGGATCTCCTTATCCCAGGTATATTTCATTCTTAGTACCTCGTGTGAATTAATTAAAATGGAGGGATGAGCTTAATTTCCAAAATAAACAAGTAATTAATTTTTATTTTTATTTTTATTTTTAATATGAAAGGAGCTATTACAAATGTAGCAGCATGAGGGGTTGCCCTGCAAGAAAGCATGTGGAAAGATGTTTACAGGATCCTAGTATGTTACTTGTAACCTATGAAGGGGACCATAGTCACTCCAACCTTACATTTCAATCACCTAACATCATTCTTCAGGTTTAATAACAAACTCAAAGGAAAAGCAGAAATAGAAACCTTTTCTATCAGTTTATCATGTTAGTCAATCCTTTCTTATTTTCATCTTGAGAAAAAAAAAATAAATGCTTCTCTCTTTTATATAAAAAAAATAACAATATAATTTTTTTTAAGCATACAATAATAACAAAATTTGCATGTGCAAGTACAAGTGTGTATATGTTGTTCTAGCAGTGCGCTAAATCAATTCTAATTTGCTATTCTAAGTTATATTGATATACTCAGATGTATGATGTACTCCATTATTCTAAGTTATATTGAAATAGAAATTATAATTATCTATTATTAATTTTGACAATTAATTAATTGTATATTAGAGTTTATGAGTTTCAAGACTAATTGATAAAAAAAAAAAATGACACTAATTATTTTTCAACATGAATAATCAACCAACACCAATGTTAAATATTAACTACCTTGAATTAGTATCGAAAATTACATGCAAAAGTTTGGGCTTTAGGCCCAACCTGAAAAATTATATGAAGCAATCTTTATACTTTCCTTTTTGGGCTCATTGATCCACATGAAGTAGTAATTGTTTACAAGTCTTCTTATCTTGTTGTAGGGGTTGGGTTTGCCATTTCAACGACTTGTTGTTTTTTCTAGCCATTGGATACTCTTAAATTAATTTCAAGAATCTGAAATTTCAATATTTTTTTACTACTCATATTATTGTTTATAAGATCCTCTTATCATTATGGACTAACAATTAAATTTTTTTTTTTTTTTTAAGTGAGAAAATATGTTTAATGAACACACATGATATATCTAAATTTTGATGCATGAAGTGGGTTTATATGACTATGAGTACCATAACCAATACAACTATACAAGGTGTTGTCTAAAGCTAAGTACCATCATTTGTTTTTTTTTTTTTTTTTCTCAACCACTACCATCATTTGTTTTTTTTTTTTTTTTTCTCAACCATTTTTTTTTTTTTTTTTTCTCAACCACTAGTGATGCTTTGCTAGCTTGGTGGTAGGCCCAAAAATACATATCATAGTCTTTCAAATCTTTTCATGGAGTAGCTAATGAGGATGGTACAATATAAAATATATTGTACAGTATAATATATAATTGTTGTCCTTTGTCCATCTCCACATCATCCTTAGTGGATATAATGAATAAAAATGAAATTGAAAATTAAGGTTTATTCTTTGAAAGTAGGTAATGTTTTTGAAGATCTTCAATTGGGAATTTATAGCAGCGATCCCAAGTTAATGCATAGACAAGTAAAATATAATGGTAATGAAACTCCATTAGGGTTCCTCCTTAACAATCATAACTCCTTAGACAGATTTTGTTAAAAAAGAAAAAGAAAGGAAAAAAAAAATATTTGGTCCATAATCTCTGCCCTAATGTTCAATGATTCATCATTTAGCAGTAAACTTTTATTTAAAAATAGAATAGTATGTCTCCCGATCATTTTTGTCTTAGAAATAAAGTACCTTTGTCTCCACAGTTTATTAATTATATTTAATATTGAAGTCACTACTTTCTCCTCACACACTTGTTCTTGGAAGATGAATTAATTAATTAATTAAATTATCTTAATTACTTCATAATAATAATAATAATAATAATAATAGCAATTAATTAACAATTTGATGACATGACAAAACAACTATATATTTAATGATCTATCATAACAAAGGGTATGGTTGGTTATTGTCAAATGATTATGAGATTACTGAAATCACGGGCCATTTAAAAAATAATTAGATCAATTAACTGAATCAACAAATTGACTTCCTTCTCCTCCCCTCTCTCTCTCTTTTTTTCCCAAGATAAATTGGATTTCAAATCTTTAATTCACTTTAACTTGTAAAATTATACTTATTAAATATTTTAACTTATATAATCACTCTGCTGAATAACTCAATTCATAAAACACAACCATCTCTGGATTTAAAATAGAAACATTTTCATGTGAGTTTTAATTTCGACATTTCATCTCAAGATTTTCATCCAACTATTAGTCTATTACGCGTGTCTTCTTGTTCTAATTTTTAAAATAAATATATTTTTTTTATTAATTAAATTATTATTTCAATTCATTCTCTTGATAAAGGATATATTTGATAAAATTAATTATTTTAATAACATTTAGTTGATGGTCGTTTTAATAGTTTTTTATAAAAAGTTAAAAGCTAAATATTATAAGGATTAACTTTTATAAAATACCACATTATCCGTTAAAAGCTAGTTGAAACACAATATTATTAAAGATCATTAGAAATAAAATTTAACATTTTCATGAGTGAAAATGCTAAAACTAAGTAAGCTGTGTTGAGGAACGCAGCATCCGAAGTAGTATAATCTTTCTACTGTAAAATTTTCAAGAAAATGGTGGAAGAATGGAGAGAGACTATTATTTTCTTGGATGGATGTCGTAAAAAGCCAGCAAATGAATTTACTTGTGTCAGGTTTCAGGGGTCTTGGCTTGCCAATTGCCAATTGCCAATTGCCAACAACCTTATCATCTGAGCTATGTGTACAAAACCTAACATGAAATGGGATACAACAAGTTCAAAGAAAGCTAACGCACCAATCATTTTCAGGAGCTTTGTCCTAGAAATGAAGTACAAAATTAAAATTTTTTCTCATGTAAACAGCAAAATTGGAAAAGAAAAATTATAAAAAGGACTTTTGCCATCATTTGAGACTGTCTTCCAATTTCTTTTGTCACAGAGGGGAAAATAATTAATGATCCAATGACCAAAAGACTCATTAATGGGAAAACAATCAGAGAATTTACGTTTAAATCTTTAAATAGAAATGTAATCATCAACCATTCATATTTATGTTGAAAAGTTGGATCAATTAAGTCAACTCCCACTTTATTAAAATTCTCAATAATCTATTATTGTCAGATTTTACACTACTAAATTATGCTTTAATATAAATTGTTAATTAATACACTATTAAACAAAAATAAAACTTAATCATTCAATTATTAGCCAGATAATTTTTTTATTAGCATATGCATCGATTAGAATATTCAATTTGAAGTAGTTGTTTCTTATAAATCTAGAAATCACTTAAAGAGTTGGAAATCTTTTTCAATATTTATTTATTGTTTGGTTGAAAAATGAAAATTATTTCAAGTTGTGAGTTGTGTGAATGAACATATAAAATGGAGAGGCATTGTGAGCTGTGAATGCATGCAAAGCAATCTCCAATTTCCATCTGTCAATAGTGAAGATTAGGGATAGGGCCATAGGGGAGCTCACAATTACTGTTATTACTTGTATGCATATATACCTAAATCCTAATTTATTGGACCACTTAATAAATGTGTGACAAATGTAAGTCCACGATGTTTTTGTCAGCATATGAGAGACACTATTATCTTTCTCAAAAAACACAACCGTCTTTGTCCATAGAAGATCTCCAAATATGAGTGAGGCTTTCTCTGCTAGATAGGGACATTAGCCCTGCGCAACCCAGCTACTTCCATCCAAATGGCTGCTTTTCCCTTCTAACCTTGTCCATGCCAAGCTCAAGCTGCAAGGAATATATTTCAGATATATAATTTATTTAAAAAAAAAAATTAAGTTTTCAGATTTATTTTAACAAAATGTCTTAATAAAAATACTAATTTTTCTTATTTCTGACTATGTTAACACATGTAAAAGAAAATTAATAAGAAAATTAGTGATCTATTTTTTTTTTTAATTTAAACACGTAGCTCATTTTCACTCAGTGATCTAGTCGATGAAATTAAACAGCAAAAAAAGTCAATTCAGTGATCTAATATTAATTATTATTTTTTTCTGGTATTTAGTAGACAAAGAGGTCCAAATTAATCTAGAAACTACCTTAATTCTATGTGTTCTAGAATAAAACTAATATGAAGTAGTTGAACAATACATTGACATTGTTTGTGTATATTAGAAATTCATTTCAGACGGTTGAAAAATCAAAATCTAAGCTCATTAAACAACAAATGCTTAAGCATTAATTGATTTTTTATTTTCCCAAAAAAAAAAAAAAAAAAAAAGCATTAATGAATTTTTATTTTTCCCCCAAAAAATTTTCCCAAAAAAAAAAAAAAAAAAGACAAAAGAAGGCAAAAAAGAGGTGCATTTGGTGGTGGTGCTGCCCATAGATATTTGTATTGATGGATGGAGAAAGTGGGGACAACCAGATCTCTCGGCTATCTTCCATGAGATACCCCATTCAAGTACCAGACCTCCACTTCTGCCCAATTAGCTTTTAGGGTACTCTACCCTACATCTTACTATTACTACTACCCTACTATGCTCTACAGCTCTCCTACCACTACAGGGATTTGGACTTAGGGCTGTTCGCGGTTTGGTTTTTAAATAAAAATTAAATCTATTTCAAATTAAACTGAATGGAACAAAAAAGAGAGAATCAGAATCCATACCAAATCTCTGAATCACAATCCATATTAAAAATTTCTGAGTTGAAATTAATGATTTGATTCTACTTTAAAATCTTTTTTTTTTGGTTTTACCTTTATTTTGCAAATCAACGAAAATCAACTTCACGAAAATTCTTGCATTCAAAAAGTAAAATTTTTACACTCTAAAATTTTATAAAATTTTGATTAATTTTTCCTAGTTTCCCATATCAATACTTGAAAAAAAAAAAGAAGATAAAAGATTGTACAAATACAAAAGTTTTGAATTCTGAAAGATGATTATCAAAAAATTAGTTTTCATAAATTGAGAAGCATTGTCGATGATCACAAAAGGGATGGAGAAAATTCTCAAACATGAGAATAAAATAAAATAAAGAAATAGAAATATAGGAGATTGACAAACAGAAGCTTGTCGGTTGAGAGTTGGGAACAAAGGTACTCTAAAATTTTTAACTCTATAAATAGTCCCTACCAATTCCTTCTTCATATATATATATATATATATATATATGCTTGAAAAAGAAACATAGAAACAGAAGCTGTGCCGTCACTCCAGACAAATTAAATTAATATCAAATTGGTGACACCAATATCATTAAATATTTAAATAAAAATGTAAGTTTATAAGGAACAAAAATAAATTCACTAAAAAAATGAAAATGAAAATGAAAATGGTATATTTGATATTTTGAAAAGAATTTGACATATGTTTAATTTTTTTTTTTTTTAAATTTTGCTTATATTGATATATTTGTATTTTAGAAGAGTGTAGTTTTAAATATTATTATTATAATGTTTTTATTGTAACGAACCCTATCCTTACAGTACCTCTTATAAGACAAAACGAAGGGTAATACCGGTCATTTAAATATGGGTCCACTGATTAACGTTCTGTCTACGGTTAGACGACGAGAAGATCTAGAACGTACAAACGTTAAAAGTTGACAAAGTATCATCAAAATGGTTCACACAAACCCCAATCACGCCCTATATTTTCCTGCCACGTCAGAACCCCAAAGATGACCAGTAGGGTCAATGCGTATGAACCCACTTGCCTCTCCTGTCCCACTCTCTCTCTCTCTCTCTCTCTGGACTCTTCCCTAAAGGCATTCTATTAAGGAATGACATTGGGTTGGTATCTGAATTAGATTTTGATAAGGATTTAGGTACTTAAACTTGTTAAAAAATTTATTTTTATTACCTAAACCCATTTAAATATCAGTCTAACACTAAAAAAAAATTGCTTTCATTTTCAAAATAAAAATCATATATTCCCGTTTTTGTTGAAAAAAGTAAACAACGCATTTTTTATATTTATATTACATAAGCTCTTATTACATTTTCAGCAATACACCATAACTAAATAACTGAAAAGAAACAACTAAAAATATGTTTTGCATTTGTCGTGATTAGTCCGGTTGATAAAGGAAGACTCTCGCATACGATGAGAACGAAAAGTCCTACTTCTATAGATAAAAATTTTATTGTCGATAGTACTCTGGAAATATTAATTTTATTTTCAAATGTAGGAAAAATTACAGTACGATCTCTGTAGTTTGCGAAATACAATTAGTTATTTCATATCTTTTAGAAAATAGACTAAAATATCCTTATAGCTTACATTCGTTAAATTATAAGGACATTTATTCAATTTTTACATCTTTTCTACTAAGTATCTTATGAAATGATAAAAATATCATTTTTGTATTTTTCAAACCTTAGGAACTGCATTGCAATTTTTTTGATATAATATTTTATTATCTCTCATTTGACCATTGTCTTTTCTCGTTGATTTAATGGAAAAAATTGTAAAAACTGGATAAAATGATCTAATAGTATAATAGAAACAAAATATAAAGACAAATTAGTGTATTTTTTTAAAAAATAGAAATAAATTAATTGTATCCGCAAACTATAGATATATACTGTAAGTTTCCCTTAAATGTATTTTGGTAATGTAGAAAAATGCACTTTTGATCATTTAAAAAATAGATATAATGTAATAAAGTTAATCCGAAAATACATAAAGAAAGAAAGGAAGGAAGAAGAATTCGTAAAATATTATTATGAGGATTAAAATTCAATTTGTCCTTTGAATTTGTTATTAAATTAGACTTTCAAGACAAATTACAAGTTGAAAGAGTAATTTAAATTAAAGAATAATTTTATACTTCCTCCGTCCTTAATGTTTGTCATGTTGACTTTTGTACAAAGTAAGTAACACATTAATTATAATGTCCATCATACAAAATATAAATATTTTTTCAAAATTGTCATCCTTTAAAAAAAAAAACTCATAAAACAATTTATAACGAGGAGTATAAAAGAAAGGTAAATATCTTTTAAGTCAAGTGAACAAATATTTTGAGACATCCAATAATGAAAATATCCGCAAACATTATGTTATGGAGAGTGATTTTTTTTTTTTTTTTTTTATCCGAAAATTATGTTTGAGGGAGTTTTTTTTTTTTTTTTTTTCTTATCATGACATGGAGTACTTCCAAGCTACATTTTCTTTGCAGTGCAAGTCAAGACTCGAGACATAATTACTTATCATGAATGTATGAAGGAATTTGCTAGTATATGAAGCTTCAACGGTGCAATTGGATCCCACAAGGTGTTGTTTAGCCACGAGGTTTTAAAAAATGGGAATGATGTATTTTGATAAATCTCAGGATTTCTATTTCTGTGTTTGGATGGAGGAGAAAAAGAAAAAAAAAAAAAAAGAAAGATTATATAACAATTTCAATAATTATATATATTAGAGTTCTCAATAAGAACTTGTTTCTAAAATTAAGGATTCAAAAATATGATGAATGAATTTATACACTTATATAATTTTAAATAACTGAAAATATTTTTTATTTGCATTTTATAGATAATTCTTTTATTAATCACATCGATTCATTAAATTGATAAAAACACTTGTAGTCGGAATACATAAATTTGAGACCTCCTTTGAGAAGACTAACCACATCGCATTCAATGGGCTCTAATTAAAGAATCTTTTATTTCCTTAGAAATACAATAAAATTGGGAAGAGCTACCATGAAATTAACATTAATTAATCCTGCATAAAAGACATAATATCACCACAAATTGCAAATTGAGTCTGGATGTTGAAATTTTCTTCAATTTATCCACTGAGTTTGACCACTAAACAACCCTAGCTCTGCCAGAAGCCCTAATTTATTATGATAGCTATTACCAATAATTGATGAAAAGTTATGCCTATTTTTTCAAGTTTCATAGATATGGTCTATGGGGCTCCATATATTTCACTGTCTAAAATTAATTTACGAAAAAATTTTTTTTGATATTATATATTATTTAGTGAATGGTAGGCAATTAGTCCATAAACATGCATGTATAAACAAAAATAATTAGGAAAGTGAAATGTCTTATTGTTAGATCTATCAAGAAATGATATTTCATCTAATACAAAAAAGGAATGTTCTCATGAATAATATGGTTTGAAGGATAATATTTTTCACAGATGACATAATATTTGTTTTGACATTAACCTTTTTTATTAGAATTAATCTCACATATATATAACAATTTTCAAAATTAAAAATTTTAAATAACTAATAAATAAAAATATTAATTAAAAAAAATTTATTCGATACATGGAAAGCGCAATAGATGGTAATAATATTATGAAGTTATTGTAAACATTTGTTAATTGGTTATTGTGTAACAAGGCTAATAAAAGAGAAGAATTATTTTTTATAAGGTAATAGCTTCGGATAAAATTGAAAGATTTTAAAGATTAAATAGCTTATATGGAAATTACAGTGATTTTCACCACTCGAAAAGCGCGCGAAAATTCCCAAAGCCAGACCGCACGGCTTCTTATTGAGAAACCGAATATACTGTTTCAAAGAAGTACGGAATGGATTAAAAAAACTCCATTACTCAGCACCTATCACACCTGCCTTATTTATAATTTTAAATATGATAAATATTATGAATAATACTGAATATCTAATTTACTTTAATTTTAAAATTTAAAATGGAATAGTTCATCCGTTTATTCATTTTTCATCTGAAATTTAAACTTGAAGTTTTATCTACTTACATTATTTTTTCAAAAGCAGATAAAGTGTTTTTATTTTGAATTTATCACTGATATTTATTATTTCTTTAAAAATAAAATCCGTTATTTTATAAACAAAAAAATTTTATTTAAAATTAACAAAAAGTTAATTATACTTCTCGAAGAAAAAATAAAATTAGTTTTAAATTAAATTAAATTATGTAATAAAAATTTAAGGATTAAATTATACAATAAAAATTTAAGGATTAAATTTAGGATTATCCAAAAGTTTAAAAACACAAGTAAAAAAACTAAGTGGAATCACGAGGCTGTCTATTTTAACACACACTCTGTTTCTCTTTCTCTTTTTACTTATCGAAAAGATTTCATTTCCTCTCTCCCTGTCCTTTCTTTCTCTCTTTCTTGTGCAGAGAGCCCCTCTCTTTCTCTTTCTCTCACACCAAATCAAAAACACTACTTCTCTCTATATATACGTCACTTTCTCTCTCTTTATGCGTCTCCCTCTTCTTTCTCTTTTTTTTTTTCCCTCTCTCTCTCTCCTCAGTTTTAGCTTTTCTTATTTGAACTGAGGAATAACTACAGAGGAGACGAGTAAAGAGGAGAGACCGAGAGAGAGAAAGAAAGTCTTTTTCCATCTACTTTGTTGCTCTCTATTATATAAACAACATAGATACATAATTAGATACACAAACAGATACAATGTCGGCTTACAGAGATGAAGATCCTCGTATCCATGGCATCCAAACTAAGATTCGCGTTGTCCCCAATTTCCCCAAAGAAGGTTTCTTTTGCCTTTTGGTTTCTCCCCTTTTATCTTTTTCCCCTCTTGATCATTTTCTCATTTTCTTTTTACTCTTTGGTTTGTTCTGTTTGGCTGAAAATAATGCAGGCAAGAAAGTGAGAAATACACTGACTTTTCTTCTCTCTTATGATCTCAGGGCAAAAAACAAGTCTTTAAGACTACTGGGTTTTCCATATCTTCAAAAAATAGAAACCACAAGCTCTATTTTATGCAAAATTTTGTCTACCTTTTTCTGATAACGTTTTATCACAAAATGCTTTGATTCTATGAACTGGGATTTTTTTTTTTTTTGTCGTTTCGTTTGCTGCCCAACCGTTTCTTGTGGTTATTGACAGAAAAAGTCGGGTTTTTTAAAGAAAATTTCTTGACGGGTCATTATGGCATTTGGCAGGTATCATGTTTCAGGATATCACAACTCTATTATTGGATCCTAAAGCGTTCAAGGATACCATTGATTTGTTCGTTGAGCGGTACAAAGGGAAAAACATTTCAGTTGTTGCAGGTAGGCAACACAAGAAAGCTCCATTTCTTCTTTTTAGTGTTTTTCCTTTTCTTTTCCCTTTCAAGGTTCCATTTTTTTTTTTTTTTTTTGAGGTGTTAAAGACTTGATTTATCATCTAAGGCTTTTAAATAACTTTTTACCTCTCTCATTTGGGGTTGAAGGTGGTGGGGTCCTTTTGCTTACAGAGCAAAAATGCACCATTGCATAAGTTTCTGGTTGCCTTTTTCATGGATGCTTTTTTAAGGACATTTATGCCAATTGGAAGTGACTGTGCATGTGTGTGATGTGTCTCTTTGTTTGTGGTTTCTTTATTAATATGTTTTCCTTTTCTGTTTTCCCGATTGGGGTTGGGGTGTTAGGGAGTGATCGATTTCTCGTTTGACTATTGGCCTTTGTTAGTGGATGTGCCATCGATTGCTCCCTCTGTTCAATTTTCTCTTTGAGCGGCTATCGTTTGCTTTCTCTTTCTCTCCCTCTCTCTCTCGTTGCTGTTGTTGGCATTGTGGGCATGTGCTGGGATCTGATTTGGGTGAATTTAAGGTGGTTGGGGATGGATGCCCACCCTGTTGAAAAGGAGGTGGACCCATATGATGCTAGTTACCATTGGGCCTGTTTGTTTTGGCTCTATTGTAATTTGGTTTTTATACCATGCTTGATATTTCTACTCTATTGTATCATGCGTTTTCTGTTTCCTCCTCTTATATGGCTGTGTCAAACTGAGTGATAATAAGCACTTTTAGCTGATGAATTATGTTCACTATACCATGGGTTTTGATTTTTCTTTTTCTTTATCCGTCGATTGGTAATTTTGTACGATTGCTTGTATCCCTGTGTAGTCAACCCCCTCATATTCATGAACAAATTTGATTGCATGAATTGCAATTTCGCATTACATGTTAGTTAACAGAAAAAAAAAATACTGTATTAAATGACTACAAATGATGGGTTATTGGCATTCACAAGAAGTAGCAAAACTCCAAATATAGTGAGTGGTATTGCTCCCACAAACGTGTGCAGAGGTGAATAGTTTCCGTGATCTCATCATTATAGTGGCCTTTGGTCTTCATTTTAATTATATTTTTGGATCACAAAGGATTTGGTCAACATTTAATATGTATATGTTTTGTCCTAATGTGTGGCTTTAGAATCTGTCTCTTTATGTGCTCATCTGGACGTCTGTTGTCTTCTTGTGTTCATGTTTAAAACATACGTGGAATCTTCTCTTCAAATTATAGTCCCACATGGAAAAGTTGTGGCCTTTTCCTCTGTGCGATAAAGATATCTCTGCATCTTCTTATCCTTTGTCTGTCCAGCTGATGTTATCCATTGGATTAGGTCCAGAGCATGTGCTGATAGGGTTGGTCATTAGAAGCCCTAGATTGGTGAATGAATTATAGGTGCATGTCTTGCGCTCAATCATAATGGAAGCTTAATCCTGCCCGTTAAGCTTAAAATATCATTCGACGTGATGTTTTTGTCTTTTGCAATGTATATTTTACTACATAACTAGAAATTTGAAGTACATTAGAATCTTCTCTTTAATATTCTATGCTGAAGTTACTGTTGTACATTTGTTTGTAACTAGTGTAGCTCTTGAAAACTAGGTTTAGATTTTCTTAATCTATTAGTCGGCTATGCCAGCACTGGTTTCCTTGGACTGCCATGAAATTTTAATTGGTTATATCTCTAGTGTTTCAACTTTGCACTTATTGTAGAGGCCATTAATATTATGTGATGATAAACTGCTTTGCTTTGATGTTTTGTGTAAATTTGGTGGTGGAAATTGAATTTTGTCTGAATAAAGTGACAAAGCTCTAGTTTAATCTCTGGTTCCTGATTTTTATCCTGAAACGAGGGCGTTGTGAACATTTTCACTATTTGCTAGGCATTAAAATTTTTCAAAATATTCTACAAGTTCTGCACTTTGATATTTTATATATTCAACTATAACTTTAGGTTGGTTTCTGATGCTTTTTCATAAATTTCTTGTGTTTTTTCATGGCTATTGCATTCTAGGTGGTTTGTGAGTGAGTCTAATGCCTCTTTAGTGTATCAATATTTTGCCATTTGATCTAATTTCTCTCTAATAACTATTGATTTTGAAGTAGTTAATTTGTCAATGCGACTGCTTTAGCTAGCAGCTGAATGGTGCCTTCTGATGTTATAGCAGTGGTGGTGATTCATGAAATTATGAAATCTTTAGCTCTCACTTTTTTCTTTCTTTGATTGGGAACTGGCGGAGATTCAAGCATACCTCGTGTTTATTTTTGTCCAATGTTGGTATGGCATTTTTTTGTTTTTGCCAGCCATGTAGAGTCTCACACTGTCACCATAATTAGTTTCATTAATTTGTTACTTTGCTTTTGAAGTTTATACTACTTATTGCAAGTTATGACACCATCCCTTCCTTGCGAAGGGGAACAATATCAATCTTTAAACGAGAGTATGGAACTTCATTAACAGGTTCAGACAATTGGAGTTCATCTGTTTTGATGCCTTGTTTTGCTTTTAGCTAAATGTTACAGTTAAATGTTTAAGCAATTAAGAAAGTCTTTTGAAGTATTTTGTATTATATATTTCTGAAATACAAGGGTTTTGTTTTCCAGGAATAGAGGCAAGAGGGTTTATTTTTGGACCTCCTATTGCATTGGCAATTGGAGCAAAGTTTGTTCCATTGAGAAAACCAAAGAAATTACCTGGTACTTCTTCATCTCTTTGCATTAATTTATCTATTTTCAGCTCTCAAAATTAGCTGTCCCTATGATATATCCATTATATGATGGTATGATCCCTTTCTGTGTTTGTAATTCATCTCCATAAGCTTCTATAATTTCAGACCACTATGACTTGAACTGCATTGTTTTGGCCCAAAGTCTTTGTAGTTGCCCGTTCGGCAAACGGATTTGTTATATCTGACATGCTTTTATCTTGGTTTGATAGTGGTAAGACACAGCTAAATTGCAATTTAAAGTACTCTGAGTTTGTACTTTTAGCAAATAAATAATGGAATACTTAATTGTGCTGATTATGCCTGTGGCATTCAAATGTATGATAACTTGGTAGACTGCGTGAATTATTAATGCTATTGTTGTCTCTAAATACCTTTGGTTTCTTTAACCTTGTTACCTTACCAGTAATGCTGTCTTGTTCAATAAGAAGTTACCATGTTGCAGGTGAAGTTATTAGGGAACAGTATGTTCTGGAATATGGAAGTGACTGTCTTGAGATGCATGTTGGAGCAGTCAAAACGGGGGAACGTGCTTTGGTGGTCGATGATTTGATTGCCACTGGTGGCACTCTGTGTGCTGCTATGAATTTACTGGGTAATTACCATATTAAATCTTAAATATTGAGCAACAATTACTATCTTTCTGTTGAAAAATTTGATGCATGGATGCATACTATCGAATGAGGTATATGCACGCAACTCTGCTGATAAAATTATCAACTGTATGTACACTGTTAGCTTGATATAATGCTTGGCTTGGTATATTTGCTTCCCTTAGCAACATTTATGTTCAATATATCTCTATGCTGATTAAGCATCTAATGAATTTACGACGCGCCGCCTTTCAGAACGAGCTGGAGCGGAAGTGGTAGAGTGTGCATGTGTAATTGAATTACCAGATTTAAAGGTGAGTAGGATGGTACTTAATGTTTGATTTGAACTTCCACTGCACTCGTTTTATGTTTTGATGTATCTAATCGACAGTTTTTCGATTATTATGAATGTTGCAGGGTCGCGAGCGATTAAATGGCAAGCCCTTGTATGTACTTGTGGAATCCCACTAATGATTGCAGAAATGATTCTCCTCCTGCCATGGTTTAGCAAAAGACCAAGTGTACATTAGAGGGATTGCTGGTTACTTCTCATCTGGAATCTCTGCTATTGGTTCAGCTCCACTGTTTCCATGACTAGTGAATTTTGAGAAACAATGGAGGTTGAGACCCTTATTTTACTTAGTAGTGTAGAAAACATTGATTTTATGCCTCAAGCTGGGTTTGGAAAAAAAGAGGAGGAAAAGGCTTGTAGGGAATCAAATCTCTCATCATTTTTTTTTTTTTTTTCCTTTCTGGAAAATGAATTTATATTTACCCTCCTTCTGTTTGTCTTTGGGGTCGAGGTTTTTGAAATTCCTTACATATTTCCTTGCATGTCTTCATACAAATTTTACATTGTCGGTTCAAATCTCTACCCTGCGTGATTCTCTGAACATGGAGAAACCAAGGCAACTTACGGCGCTGTTTTTTGTAATTAGAGATAAAGTGGACTCCATCAACCTTTCATAATCGCTAACTGGAATAGAGGTTCATCAATTTAGCAAAATTAGAGTTGCATTAATACTTGCTTGTTGACCCAGCAAATCACTCTTTGAAGTTTGAACACCCTCAACGGCTACAATTTAGGAATAATAATGTACTAGTTAGAAAAATGGAATTTATAAAACAGATCAAAGATGGTGACCGTATAACCACATTAGTCTTATCTTCCTTCAATTCAATTGCACTTTAATGAGATGGCTAAACTAATCAAATACTATATTATATTATTATCATCAATAAATATTTATTTGAGTCTCAGTTTTTTTTAAATAGGGAAAAATATTACCAGTTGGGTGACTGACTGACTGACTGACTGGTAGATTAATGTTAGGTTGTTATATTTTTCTCTTGCCTTCTAATTCTCATACAACTCTTTATTTATTTATTTTTTTCTTTCTTTATTTTTATGTATATGATTAATACTTCAAATTACCAAACCTATCAATCTCTTCCTCTTCAATTATTTCTTTCTTTTCTTTTTTTTTTTTTTTTTTTAAGAACAGGATAAGATGGGTGACCGTAATAACCACATTAGTCTTATTCTTCTTTCAATTGCAATTGCCCTTTAATGAGATGGCTAAACTAATCAAATGACTAATATTAGGTAATTATTAATTCATCAATAGAATTATGTTATTTGAGTCTCAAGTTTTTTTTAAATAGGCGGAAAAATATTAGCAAGTGGGTGGAACTGACTGACTGGACTGGAATGGTAGATTAATGTTAGGGTTGTTATATTTTTCTGCTTGCCGTTCTAATTCTTCATACAACTCTTTATTTATTTTATTTTTTTGCTTGTCTTAGTGTTTTATGTATATGATAATACTTCAAATTACCAAACCTATCAAATCTCTTTTCCTTTGCTTTTCAATTATTTCTTTTCTTTTCTTTTTTTTTTTTTTTTTTTTTTGAGAGAGAATTTCTTCAAGATTATTTTTCTAAAGGTATGAAAGAGTAAATGTTAAATTTTCATTTCCGTTTATTAGATTAATATTTTAATAGTGTAAAAAGTACTTCATATGGTAATTTAAGAAGTTTTAGAATTTAGTAATTGAGTAATCAGAATCTAATTCAACATTTTAAGTATGGAAATTTATGTTTTTTTTCTTTTTTTTTTTTTTTTTTTTTGAGAGAGAATTCTTCAATTATTTCTAAAGTATCAAAAGAAATTTAAATTTCATTTCCGTATTATTAGATTAATATTTTAATAGTTAAAAATACTTCATATGTAATTTAAGAGTTTAGAATTTATATTTGATAATCAGACTCTAATTCAACATTTTATATGAAATTTATGTTTTTTTTTTCTTGTAAATAAAATTTTAAAATTGAATTAACGAAAGTAAATTACATTTTTAGATGATGTTTATCTATAAAGTTAAGATTTGAAAGTTCTATTGGAAGAGCTTTTTCTATATATTAATATTATATGGCTCAAACATAAAGACACGCAAGAAAAATTTAAAAAAAAAAAATGAAATTAAAAGGGACAAAAAGAAAAATGTTAAGAATTGAAATTCGTGGACATTTTTCATATGTGGCATCTCAACTTTTAGAATTTAACACAATAAGACCAAATGGTGAATGCTTTTTCCAATTGAATCATTACCAACAACAAACAATAATCCCATGAGAAAGCCAATATTTTTGTTTGCCAAATATCATTATTAGAAGTTCAGTATTTTCACTAAATAATTAGGAAATTGGAAATACATAATCGAAATCGAAAAGACTTTATTTAAACATCATTATAGTTTCAATATGAAAATATGTGCGCAAATATAATAAATACGAATTAACTCATAATAAGAAATTTATTGCTGTGAAACACTACCATGAGAGTATATTATGAAAAGGGCAAAACTGAGGGTTCAAGCTTTCTTTAATTGCAAATTATATCTAATCAAGATGATTAAAACTGTTGCAAATGATGTATTGAGATGGTTAAAATTTATGCCTTAGAACTTTTTGATCTCCGTTTCTAACTTGTAATTTCTATCTTTTATGGACCAGACAGCATCGCCTCAATGCAATTTTATAATATATACCTTATATATAAATAATTAAATATGTTGTAAAGGGAAGGAAAAAAAAAAGGGAAAGACCCCTTAATCTAACTAAGAGTCAAAAGGCACAGAATGCTAAATGCTAATCATAAAAGTTGGGAATCCATGAATTTTTCTTTTTGGGGGAGCCCATCGATATTTTGGATAATTGCTAATACTTTCTAAAATAGAGTTAATTATCCTGTAAATAATGTTTTATAACCTTATCATCCAATTTTTATTATAAAAAGCCCAATAGTTAACATATTTTCCCATCTTTATAATTTTTTTAAAAAAATTTCTTTTCAAATTTTATCGAATTTTTGAGAAAATTTATTAATTCAATTTCCATTGTCCATATCATGCAAAATACTTATGATATTACCTTTTATTGAATGAAAAAAAAAAAAAAAGGGCAAGATTTGCTATAAAATGCCAATACTATGATTAAATTTAATAAACATTTTCACAAACTAATTATCTAAATTAAAAATGAAACCTTTCATTTTACTAGCTCCCTTGTTAAATATTTGTCATATTTTGAATTTAACGTCACTTAAAAAAATATTAAATTTATCTAAGTTACTATAAATTATTAAATAAATTGACTATATTATTCTTAATTTAATATATCCAAATATTAAATTTTTGAGGAATTGAAGTAATAATTATTGATAATAAATAAAGGATAAATATGAAAAAAAATTTATTATCCCCAAAACCACATATGTGACAAGTATTTTGAGTCATAATAGTTTATTAGATGTCATAATTAAGTAGATAATACTCCCTCCATTATTTTAAATTTTGACGGTTTTTATTATTCACAAGAATTAAGAAAACAATTAAATCACCTCAATTTAAAAAAAAATAGAAATAATATATTAATTTACCCTTTAATTAAAATAAAATTTAATGTAGATATAGGTATCGTTGAAATAAAATAACAAGTGTTATTTTGATTTTCTCAAAGTGTAATGATAAAAAAAAGCAAAAAAATATCAAATTTAATGGAACCAATGGAGTATAATATATTAGAACGAGATAAAAAATTTTGAAAATTACTAATAACTTTATGGTAAAAAAAACTAGGTAGTGGTAACTAATATAAAAAAGCAATAGAGTAACTTTCCTTACCTTGGAGATAAGGAATCAAAATCCAATATCATTATCACCATAGTGACTGATGACCCTACATTTTGACCAAAAACGTTTCGAAACACATAAAGAGGCACTTAATGCACAATTAATTAAAAATTTGTTAATTAGACATTAAGAAATATTAATGGTCCAAACATTAAGAGGCACTCTCGAGCAAAAAAATATTGTGTTGATAAATGAGGCATAAGAAAACAATCCGAGAGAAATTAAAAATGGAAAAGGAAAAATAAAAATAGGAAATAATTTCCATATATTTTTACAATTTATAGATAATAAGAAAGCAAGGTAACACCGCACGAGGATCAAACACCAGCAACTCGCCATTTTCCCCACTCACCGAGTCAAACCCGACCCGCCCATCAATCAATGAATCGAACTCTATTTGCTTCGACACGCGACCCGCTATCACTCGACAAACCAGCATCGCCCTCCTTCCACTGCCACCGCCAGCACTCTCGTGTGCCCCGCCGCTTCCGGAAAATGTACAAATCGCCGCCCCTTTTCCACCGGGGAAAACCCACGCACTGCAGCGGGCTTCATGAACGCCACCAGTGGGACCCAGGCAGTAGAACTGCATCATCTCGTTTCCGTCAGCGACGCACCGCGCATTCTCCTCCCACGTGCTTCCGCCAGATAATCCGGCTCGGGTTTTAACCATCTCGCGATACTCTTCGAACCGAGAAATCGTTCTAGTCCCGTTATGTACTTTAAAAATCATCTCGATCCTACCCGGAAATGACTTATTGCTCCAACTCGTGTGAAAGATAATTTCCACCACATTACGAGAAGGGTGGCCGTCGGGTACTTCTGTTAATGCTGGAAACAGCGGGTCCGGGTTACGGGTAGAACGAGAACGAGAAGGAGGAGCTGAAACCGGTTCGGATTTAGGTTTGGGTTTGGTATGGGTAGGAGAAAAAGAGGTAGATTTTTGTAGATTCTGTCGTTGGTGGTGGTGATGGAGGCGGTGGTGCTTAGGTTTAGTGGGTCTTTGATTTCTGGTGGCGGTTTCAATAACGTCTTTGATGCTCTGAGCGCTCTTTCTGCAACTGGAGCTGGGTATTAGATATTTCGGATTCGGGCTAAGAACATCTTCAACAGCTCTTGATTTGCATTGTAGCGACTTCATCCACCGGGTCGCCATTAAACGAACAGAATGACAGACCAATCCGATCTTGTATTTCTATAAAGAACACAACTTTCTCTCCCTCCCTAAAGAATATAGTCTTAAGCAATGTGCTTAAAGCTCAGATTCTTGATTTTTCTCTTCCATGACTCTTTCTGTGTTTCAAGTTCTTGACTTCCTGTCTCTCGAATATTTTCGGTTCCATTAGGGCTGTGAAAATTCCATCTCTAATTTTTTAAAATTTTTTCCTCTCTGGTTTTATTGGGGTATATGTGTTGGTGTAAAGACTGGAATGGAAAGGACATGGCGCGATAATAAATGGACAGGTCTGAACTTTGTGGAGGGTATAGTTGCAATGACGATAATGCCACTGATAATTGATGAGGTGGCTCTGAGAACTGCATGTCTACTACTGCCAACATAAAAAAAAAAGTCCGTCCCTTGCTCCGGTAACTGAATTATGGTAATAATGGTGAAAATATTTAAAATATGGTAAAAATGTTTAATTAACTCAAGATAGTGTATGTTTTTGGTATTAGGCACGATGTGTAGTTGTGTTTTTACCGTTAAAAGAGCGAAACGGGTGGTTATTTTGTCTATAAAATGGTTTGTCTTAACTCTTAAATAGTGTTAGGCAAAGCTTTCAGAATTCAGATTAGTACTACTTAATAAAAAGTCTTAATTTAGCGGTTAAGAAGCATTTATTGTATTTGTGACTTGATTACCAATTTTAGAAGAAAACCTAAACGGCTTATTTAGGTAAAATACCAACATTAACCTTTTGGAAATAATATGCTTTTCGCAAAATATTTGCGTCTTTTACATATATGTTTTAATGTCAGTGTACCATCTGCCTGATATCAAAAATTTAACATTTGCATTAAAATGTAAGTTGATGAGCACTCATTCTCGTCATGTCATTTTCCATTAAAGGCTTTATAGCTAGATTTCTGCCATCTGAACTTCTTTAATGCTTTTGTTAGGGCCTTGTTGCTACTTCAAATCAAAGTAATTAAGCAAACAATAAATATTAGTTTGTCTTTTAATTGTTTATATATGTAGGTGAGCCTGAAGTTTCACTGCAACAGCAAAAACCTACTTGTACCCTTGTTTTTAATTTTTGTTCTTTATACAAACTATTCTGATACATGGTGGTACAACTCCAAAACAAATTTTTAAGGAGAAGATTAGCTATATTGAAGTCATTCTTCAATCACTAATTTAAGTTCAATAATTATATATTTTACAGAATTAAATAGGATTCAAACTTGCTATGAGGATAGTATTATAGTAATCTGAGTAATTGTCTTGCAAATACAAAAAAAAAAAATTAGGGATTCAAATCATAGAAACTTTGATCTTTTTTTTAAATTGAGTCTAATATATAAAATTGAAAGATATTTCCTTACCCAACATATAGAACATTTAGGGCGATTGTTTTGTTAAAAAATATAAGACATTTTGAGTATTTTAAAGAGTAATAATTTTTTATTTTCCAATTTTACACTTCGTTATTTTAGATATAGTTAACTATTTTCATGAGTTATCCTTATGATTTTGAGATAAAGGGTAATTTGATCAAATTATTTTTGATTTTATTATAATTTAAAGAGATTAATTATTTTTTTAATTTCTTTAAAAAATTTTAAACGATTTATATTTTGAAATGTGCGAGTTGTAAATTTAAATTATTAAACCTTTCTTGACCAGATGAAGCCATCGATTTCATAATTGCAACAATCAATGAATGCTAATTAACTTACTTGTACAATTAGTAAAATAATTATTTTGGCATCATCCTTTTTTACAAGTGAAAGATTGAAAACTACTCCTCTCAAAGAGGGTGATTAAGAGTCTGCCATTTTTTTTTTCAAAAAAGAATAAGGATACTACTTAGGTGGAAGTTGACACATTATTGCATATGGGATTCCTCTATGCAATTTATATATTGAGAAATATTTATTTATTTTTAATAAATCAAATAATGTATTGAATATATACATATTCTTTTTACTATTCAATGCCAGATTTTGCGCATTTGGGATTATATTATTATTAGTATTTAGCTTATTCATGGCATTACAAAGAAGTGAATTTTTTCTAATAAAAAAACAAATAAGCAGTGAATTTTCTAGGTTATCCTGAATTGCTTGCATAAATAAAATAAAAGAAAAATGTAAAGAAGACCAAGAGGAGGAATCTTTCATGAGAGTTTGAAAGTGGATATGGCAGGAATAGAAGAATAGAAAGAGAATGGAAACTGGCACACAGAGAGAGAATGCATCTAAAAAGCACTGAAATATAAACTAGTAAAACGACAATTTCTATATGTTCGTTTAATTCTTTAATAATCAATTAAGTGTTTAACCCATTACAGGTAGTGAGTCACCATATAACATTAACAAAGTTTGGTGGTATTGCAGTTACAATAGGAGCCGACAACATTGATATGTGTAAACCCTAAACAACATAATTAATTTTATAACCATCTTTCCATACCAAACACCAAATCTTGAGAATTGGTCATAGCTCAGGCATGGACAACCCATTTGATCATTATGGCTTCAAATTTGAATACAAAGTGTATAATTACACGTTTTTATTATATGGCCATCATGAGATCCCCACAGGATGATTTAGTGAAAAGAAGAGCCTGGTTAACTAATTCAAAGTTTAAGGAATAGATTAAGTTTTATCTCACATTATTGAATTATTGATTCAACTTTACATTTATTTATTTATTAATTTACGGTTATTCTCGAGTCGGCTGTTTAAAGATTTTAGATTTCAACATCTTAACCTTATAGATAAAATTCGTTTGGAGTTTCAGTTGATTTCTGATCAAAACCGCTTGTTAATTTTAAACCCTTTTGTTTATGGATGATTGTATATTTTTGGATAGATGGAAAAATGAATTTAAACATATTAAGTGAAATTGAGGGTATTACATTTAAATAAAAAGAAAATTAGTTCAGTAAAGAAATGAGTGGTGGGGCTTAGTTTGTGGGTGGGAGTCTTTGCCAGCCTTTGGCCTCACGCCTGCAGAATCTATTTGAGCTCCGGGAACTGGGTTTCATTTGGCGTGCTTAATCTTAAGGAAGCCCCAAAACTTCTACTTTTTTAGCTTTTTCACCACTTTTTATTATTTGTTTTCTCCTTTCAGTATTCAAATAGTAGTATATGTGCTTTTTATTAATCACAGCTTCAACAGTGGTATTTGCTATTGCTCAATTTGGAGGAGTGAAGTGAAGGCTTTTGCCCTCAGCTTGTGACCTATTATAATCCACTTGTTGCCTCATTGGAGGCAAAATATTCTTTCTGCTCTCTTTTATATAATCCTTGGGTGGTTTTCTTCATAAATTTATATTTTATTTAGAGTATATGAATTAACATGTCATGATTTTATGAATGAGCATATAAGTCCTATTTTTAACCCCATTGTAAATTTTCTTTTTAACTAATAGTAAAAAACTACAAATAAAAAAAGAAAATAATAACAAATTTTGACCAACTTCGAGCCAAGAGATAATGAATGCGATTTAGGACAAGGAATGCAAGTCAATTAAATGCACAGATTGAGCCTCTTCCTTTCCTTTGTTCAATAAAATTGTCATTTTCTCATAGAAATAGAATCATTCAAAGCTCTAATTAATGCGACTCTTGGAATTTTCCCTTTGATGCTTCTTTGCCAACCATTTTACAGTGCACTGCCACGTTATCTCTACCTTACTCCTCCTTACACTCATCTTCTTTACATTCATTTTAAAATATTACTCCTATTTAAACCATATTGTAATTTAATACCGTGAAAGTACATTGTTTAATGTTTGATTACATTTTACCACTGAATATATGTTTATGCACTCGTGGCAGCATGATGTGGCCCAAATTTAATGACATGGATGAACACACTTATCCTAGACAAAATGATGTCGTTTCAATAAGTGGAACGATAATATTTTCCATTTGAAGCTACACCTAAACTTTGCTTTCCCCTACCGGCCACCGCTGCTCTCCATTGGTAATTGGTGCTGTGGTGCGGCGATTTTGGAGAATGAAACGACAGTGGATAAGTAGCGGAACCACTTGCCGTGACGGCGCTAGTATCAACTCTACCAACAGTGGCTGTGTTGGTCGGTGTAACTCTGCAAGTGGTGGGGACTAAGATCGGACACGATTAATAGCAAAACCCACTTTGAATTATCCCCGAGAAAGAAAAAAGCTTATCCATCTCAGGGATCCTCTCCTGATTTCTTCCTTTTAGCACTTGGAAACGACATTGCTTTGCTCTTCAGCAAGCTTTGGGTACGTCATAGTACTGACAGACATCCATACTAATTACAAGAATTTATGTATTTTGTTTTACGAAACTTGATAAAATAAAATGTTAGGAAAAAGAAGAATGGGGCCGAGGAGGACAAAAGAGATGATACGGTGGGGAGTGATTATCGGATGAAATTGTTTTTGAATGTCAAAGTGGGAGCAAAAATTGACAAGGAAAAGACAAAGATAATAGCATGTGATTTAGAGAGGTTTGGTAAGGTAAGGACCAAGGAGGATGGTTGGCGGGGCAGGAAAACTTCCAGTTTGGTAGGGCCCAGTTTTTAAGGTGGTCCTAATTCACTAACTTCCGTGACAGTCACAGTAAATCTGCCTGCCCTATTCCAACTTGGACCTTTCTTCTGGGCTATATGGACAGTGACAATGGCCTTTATTAGTGTCTACACATTTTGGACCTTTCCGCGGTTTCAATTCAATTGAGCAGGGTAACTTCTCTTTGGTAAAACCGCAATGATTTCTGAACCCTTTCTTTCAGTGATTAGCTATGCAAATTATCAAGGGTATTAAAAATTTGACAGTCTCATTTACCTTTTGATTTATAGTTATCAAATCCAGCCCAACCCGATGAGTCAATATGGAAAAATTGCTTTAAAACGTGCCACCGTTTAAGAAAGAGATCGGATTGAACTGGTTGACTCGTGATTGAACCGATCGACCTGAACAAATCCGATTAATCCATATCGATTTTTTGATATTTTAAATTATTTTTTATTATAGTATAAGTATTTAGATTCTAATTATTTAATTAATATATATTTTTAATATTTTTATGACATACTAATTAAACTATTGACCTACTTGTTAAACCAACTATCTATCCACTTAATTTTTTAACTAGGTCAATGTCCAAGCTGGATTTAACAATGCTATAAGTATTTATTAAAGATAATATTCAAATAAAGTATTTGTTTTATAATCACAATATCAAATTTCAAATTTGACATTGTAAATAAGATTAGTTACAAGCATTAAACTTCGTATGAATTTCAGTTTCCGAAAAATCATGTATTGAAACTTTGAAAATCTAATATTTTAAGAACGCGTTAACAGTAGTAGAAAAACCAAGATTCAAACTTAATATACCGATTGTAAAAACACACACTGAAAAGAACTGGATAAGCATAACACATTAAGGAATCTGCTTTTTGTCCAACATGTGAAAGTTTGAAGTTGGGCCGATTTTGTTCCTAATGGCCGACAAACATCTTGTCATTTGTCACACCAACTTTTCCAGATATGGGCCTTAATGTGTCTACCTACATCACGAGCCCATTAGTTATCATTATCAGTATATCTATGTATATCACGTGTTGTCTCTTGTACGCAACGAGTTATTAGGTTTGGCACTATGGATTTATTCTATGTTGGTGAATGTAATTTCTTCCAAAAATTATTATGACAAATGGGTTTACTCTCTTGGATTATTATTTCTCTAAAATGCATTTCTCAGAAATTTAATTTTTATTCTCACTCTTACGAATTGAAATGAGTTCGTTAATCACTATAACCATCACTTTGTCGATATAGTTCAACAATTATTTGTAGCCTTAAAAAAAGTTAAAAGTAAGGTTTGTTTTCGGGTTCTACATTTTAATACCTCTTGAGGATACAATTGGGCTTTTACTGTTAGACCAATAGAATGCCAAAATCATAGCCCAATGGCCTACTCTCTTACATTTCTCAACGACATCGTTTCCCTGCCTAACTGTTACACATGTCGTACAACTTTAACGTACACAACACGAGTTTAACCACCAATCCACCACTACTGATGATGGCAACCTCACCGCCGCCGCCACCACCACCACCACCACTGCGCCACCTGTTGACCCTCGACACCAAATTCTCGTACTTTCTCCACTCGCTTTTCCATTCATACCTTCCCGTTTCTCTTCTCCTCGTTCTTGAACTCTCAGCTGATTTTCGCTTTTCCTTTCCCATTACTCTCGCGCTATGTCTGTCTCCTCTCTCACCCTCCCTCCTCCCTTTCCTTTCCCCTCTCCTCTTCGGCCTCCTCCTAGACCTCGCTTTCGTCGGCCTAATCAAGATCATTTTCCGCCGTGCTCGTCCTCCCTACAATCCTAACATGACTGCCGCCGTTTCTGCTGATAACTTCTCCTTCCCTAGCGGCCATGCCTCCCGTGTTTTCTTCGTCGCCGCATTGGTTTCTCTATCAGCGGACGCTATTGAAAAGGCTCTGATGGAATTCAGGGCCAGTGGTGGGTACGTTGACCAGTGGATTGCGGGGGATGACAACACGAAAGTGGTGGGGATTGTGGTTTTGGTGGTTCGTGTGTGGGCGGCAATGACGGCTTTTTCTAGGGTTTTGCTCGGTAGGCATTTCTTTCTTGACGTTTTGGCTGGAGCGTGTTTGGGCGTTTTTGAAGGTCTAGTGGCATTTCAATTCCTGCGATTTGAGAAACTTCTGAGGTAAATAAAACAGTGACTTGTCCCTCTAGAATACTTTAAATTATTACAACAAATTGAATTTTGCAATTACCTTTATCAATTTAGAATTTATGATGGTGGACAATAAGAATTGTATTTGGTTAATAATCAGGACTTAAATTACGGTTCTTTGAATTTATTCTTTTGGGCCGAAACCAAAAGAGGGAAGTGGAGCATAGCACAATAGGTAGGGAGCAAAGTTACCCTTAAATCTTTTTAAGCGTGCATCAATTTGTGTTTAAATGTCCAGTTAGCAGTTATGTGACAATGGGTGATAATAAGTTAATAACCTCACAGTTCAAGCAAAGTTGTCTATTGAAAAGACTGTAGTTTTCTGCTTTCTTCATTGGTATTTTGAAGGCCAGAGGATGCCACATTGCGTGGCATAATATTAGGCATCTCTGTAATTCTTTGTTGTGCATTTGTCCTAAGCTGTAGATAATTGATGGATCCATAATGGAAGAACTCATTTATGTCGTCTTGAATGTATGAATTATGATGAATTGATTAGAAATGTAGATTTCTCTGTCATATGATCTTCAGCTCAGTCTCTTGTTGAATGCTTGAGCTGATTTGGTCTTCCTAAACGTCTGGAACTCGTGTTAGCCTTTGGCCCTATTTTCCAATGATTATGGAACTTGAAGTTTCTAATAGTATGCTTGCATATTTATGGCTTAACAAGCAGCCGGCAAGGTAATCTGCTGTCTGCCCTTTTCTTTAAGTGAGCATGTTTTTCTCCAACTGATTGATTCAGTTTTGAGATACTTATTCATGTCAGTTTTGAAATTAAGATTTTTGAATTACAATATTACCTAAAAGCAAAATAATAGTACTAAACAAACTTTATTTTCCTACGGACAGCCTCTTGCTTTACCAGAAAGTTGGCCAAAGTAGAAGTTAAGTGCATTTGGAGTGGGAGCCATAGGAAGTGCTTCTCTTGCAACATATCGGATGATTATTTCCAAAAGCAGATACATGTTGATGTCCTGAGGATATTGCTTTTTCAGTGTGTGCAATGCGGAGAAATTTTGCTTGACTACTTCAATGATCACCTAAGACATTAAGCACTGGAATCACATACTACTTGGCTGTTGTACTCTATTGTATTCTTACTTTGATATTCAAACTCTGTTGATTTTGACTACTGCTATGGGGCATTAGATTTTATGCCAATTTATACAATTCATTTATGAATCACATTAAATTTGACTCTCTGTCCCCTTCACTTTAATTGACTTCTGTGGTGTTAGTCCCGCAAAAACAGTTTCTTTGATGGCATTTATTGTAAGTTATTCCACTCATATGTTTTGTTGTTTCTAATAGCAGCAGCCTTACATTGTATAAATGCAAATCCGCTGGTATTGCAACATCTTCTTTCTTCTGCTATTGCTGATTTAATGACCATATAAACATGTATTCATTAAAACAACATTTTCTAATGTCCTTTGCTGGCATGAAAGTTGGTTCACTTGCTATAACTGTCTAAAATCTGCTTAACGGGGTTGAGGACTTGGATCTTCCAGTTTTTCAATTACAAAAATCTCTGTGTGGCCAATAAGCAATGCGCAGACAGTAGGAGTTGGTGATTGCATGGATATAGTTGCTCTATGGGTTATTCTTATCAATCTTCGAATTAAAAAGCAGTTAGCTCAATAATTTAATGCTATGTGCGCTTTTTTGGATGCATGAAAAGTTGATAAGCTTTATCCGATAAGGTAAGATTGATTGATTGATTGGATTGAGAAGTAGCTTTTTAGGCAATATGGAAACATTGTAAACTTGCTTGATTAGCGCTGACAGTGAGTATTGAAATTTTTGCTACTTGCATCATTGCTGTAGTTATCATGTGGAAAACATCCAAGCAAAAAGAGATTTTGACATATTCTTTCAATTTCATTGAGCTAACATGCGGGACTGACATTTGAACCTGATTGCATCAAAGGATCTATCCTACTCGCCACTACATGTTCATTTGTTGCCTTGATAACGAACTGACTCATATCCCAGCTTGTGTTCTTTTGTCATTAATTGTTACTATGTCAATTTCTGATTGCTGTTGCTGAAAAGGAGTTGCATATGCATTCTTTGAATTCTGAATGTGTTTACATTACATTGGCTTGTCAATCATATTGAAGTCCTGTTTAATCGAGGGATAGTCTTTATCTACCACACTAATGCAGGGGTCCTACCATGGAAATTAAACTGATATTTGTGGTCTTTTTCTTTTCTTTTCTTTTTTCTTTTTCAGGTTGGAAGTGAGGATTGCTGTTGGTGATTACTTAGTTTTGTCTTGGCTATGGAAATGGTGTCACAGGTTGTCCATTTGCGGAACAGGTGCATATGTGCTTTTTAAATTTTGCTTGATCTCTGGTTTTCCTTTAAATCTAGCTCCAAACTCTTTTGGAACTGGCCCAGCCACTAACAGGCAATTATTCAGGCTTTATTGAGATTGATCACGTGCCAGTGCCATATTCATTTTGAATGATATAACAGAAAGAAACATTCTTAAGTTTAGTGTCAATTATTACAGCCTCACTTTATGTGGGCTATAGGGCCTGCTCTCACCAAGTCAACAACAACAACATCAATAAGAAAAAAGCTCCCTCATTGTCTATATACAATTTTTATTTATGAGGGGAGTCTCATTTTACTATAATAGAAAATTAAGGGTTGCAGATCATGAGAATCTCTATTATTACCTACTTCTGAAGAAATCCTTTTGCCCCCACCCTAAATCAGCTTTCCTAACACGTCTATATATGGTTAGTGATTATGGGGGATGGGGACCATAGTCTTCCATATATTACTGTTTCTAATATTGAATAGTTTCACCTTATGCCTTAATTATCAAGAGAAATAACTTCTTCACCTAATTTTTCTGAATATTTCCTATTATTTAATTTTGGTCTATTTCAGTTGAAAAATTAAACTGTTCCACCAAAAGAAAGGGAAAAATTAAAATGACTTTGTTATTTTTTATTTCAGAAGATCTATTCCAAATTAACCAAATTGACTGATTCCTCTAATTGATCTATTCTTATCCAGGTAAGAAACTAGTAATTAAATTAGTGGGTTATAGTCAAAGTATTTGTTTCTTCTTCACCTTGTTGTAGCTAATGCAGGTTTTGATTATCACACCTATGCATGTGGAGCTGAGAATTGCAGGCATGGCTAAGGCCAAGTATTGATTGTATGAGTACTGTGCCACTGACACTGTTCAATCTGGACCATATACGTGTGTATGTGTTTATATATGCACGTTCAGTATCCAGTATGAACGCAGAGTTTCACATGTGGGCCCAAAGCACGCATGTTTATATATGTGTGTGTGTAAGTATGCACATATGTGTTTTGAAGGTCTGGACCGACCTGGAAGCTACGTATGAAATTGCAGAAGAAATGTTAGACCAGTCAAGGTCTTTTATTTTATGATTAGGATCAAACTTATTAGGACAAAATCAATTCTGAGAAAGAAAGGTTAATTTCATTGGCCATTTAGTGAGTCTTAGTTTCTTACGACATCATCTTGTTGTTATTATTATTGTTGATATTTCGTGAAAGCAAGAAACTCACAGAAAGTGATATGGAAACATTTGAGTCTTATAACTGTCTCTTCTGTATTATTTACAAGAACATATAAATTTTAATTTGAATTGTTTTTTTGGAAGATTGTGGCATGGCGTTTTGGTCTATGATGATTTTTAATGTTGTAACTGAGTTTTTGGACACATTGGACACATTGTTCTTTTTCAGCCAGAAATGGTGGTGCTTTCTTTTTCCCAAAAAGCTTAGGACCACTGAGATATGGATTGGATTTTGGGGTAGTGAGGGCTGTGGTGGTGTTTATCTTATTTATATAAATATATAATAGATTGATTTTTTGTCAATTTTTGCTTTTCTTTTTGGGTAATTGGGACAAGTTTACCCAGTTGATCATCGTCATGATCATCAGTGGCAGCAAGGGACAGAGACCTGGGCAGAGAGTTTCAGAGGAGAAAGACTGACACAAAATATTGGAACGTACGTATGAAAAGGGTGAATTATTATTTCTTTCCTCAAATTTGGTCTAATTAACGATTTTCATTTTTAAAAATATTTATATTTTTATATTATTAATCCGTTAAAACTAATATGTTTTTCTTAAAAAAATGATGTCATTTTAACTGTTAATGATAATAAAGAGATAAAAATGTCATTCATTAAAATATAATCTCAGAGAAAAATACTTTCTTAACATTTTAAATGATTAAAAAAAAGACATTTTGCGGATGGAAAAAAAGAAAATATTTAAATGGCTCAATAGTATTAAGAGTGTTTTAACATATTTCTTAAAATTAAAGAAGAAAATTATTAATTAGACTAAATTGAGGGACGAAATGGTAATTCAGTCATAAAATAGATATTTCCAATATTATTAATTAGAAAAGGCTGAGACGAAGGCAGTGCATCATTTGAAGGACCCTGTCACTCTTTGCTTCTGTTATTATGATGATGAAATTCAATAACTCATTTTGTTTGTACGGACTAGTATTTTGCTTTTCTTGTTTTCGTTTTCCTTCTGCCTCTGTGTCTGTGTTCTTCACTGTGTAATATATCTTGGTTTATTATTATTATTATTATTATTATTATTATTATTGTTATCATTTTCTGGTGTTTAGTTAGAAAAGTTATAACCATAATAATAAATTCACGTAGCAGTACTAAAGCTAATTATTATAGCCATTAACAAATATCTGGAAGTATCAACAGTATCTTTTTCGGGTATCAAAATGGTATCCAATGGTTTAACAAATCATGATCTTGACTGCCGACAAAGGCTCAGAGAATAGAATGAAGCTAACACCCATTTAGATCGGAATAAAGTTCAATTTATCTTTTGAATTTGCTATTAAAGAACAAAAAGTTATAAAATTGACCTTTAGACTCAATTTATCTCTTGAATTTACAATTTATATAAGAATTAATTGGAGAATTTGCACAAATTGAGCCAAAAGATCAATGTTGTAGCCTTTTGCTCCCGGACAACGAGTTTATAGAATGAAACAGTTAAACTTGTTAGAAAATAATTTCAAAATAATATTTTCAAATATACTAAATTAATATGGAAAAACTTAATTTTAACATTGACATATGTAATATTTTCCCCCTGTGAGGATTCTTTTTTACCTCTCATTTTAGCTTCTTTATTTGGAGTATTCATTTCAGTTGTACTCTTTAATCATTTGATTGGATAGGAACACAGTTAAATTAGTGAAGGTGATAACTAATGAGATGAAATTGCTTTACCTTCTATAAGCTTCTGATAAAATAAGAAGATAGATTGACATGACTAAACACCATACTAACAAACCCTAGAAGAATAAAAGAAGAGGAAGAAGGAACTCATAATGATTGTACTACCATTGGTTTCTTAACTACCCTTTTCTTTTCTTTTCTTCTTTGAAAAAGAAAAGAAAAAGGGTTACGAGAAACTTAAAGAGAACCAGCAAACAGTGCTTCCAAACTTTATTATACCTAGAAAAAGAAAGCTCTAGCTGTGAAGTAAGAAGGAGAAAGCTAGATTGCTTTATTATAACTTTATTATTTTAGTTAGAAAATTAATGAATTAATTTCCATTAATGACCAACTAACTCTAGCTAGATTGCTTAATTACTCCATATGGTACAAAACTGTTGTAACTTCTAACTATATACTATATAGGAATGATTTGAATAAAGGCCTCCATGGAAGCACATCTTTTGCATTCTTTTTCAAAAAAAGAAACATTAATTATTAGTTCAAGAACACAATAATTTTACACATTCTAGAATTGTTGAATTAGTCAATGTGATTAAGCATATAAGAATCCAAAATAATCATTTGCCATTCACAAGAATTGGGATCATCTCATTATTTGTCATGCTTATATCACCTCACTTACCTTAAAATTAATTAATTAATTAATTATATATCTTATATTTAAGTGGGACACACATATATAATATCGAGATGCAAGTTCCAAATTTTCTAATTTTTCTATTCATTTCCATTGCCAATAAATTTCAAATTTTAAGCAACATTCCAAATTGGGTCCACACATAAAATTCAAAATTTGATCTTTCAAATCACTAGGGTTGATAATAGTTGGTGTTCAAATTTTTGTATTATATATAATATTTTGAAATTTGAGAATTTTTCTGTACAACTAGAATTTAAAATTCATCTTCTTATCATAGTTAGTCAATGGTTTTTTCATCAATAAAAATTTCATTTCTAGTTTTAGGATCCTATAAAAGAAGTTCTTTTTTTCTTTTTCACTCTTTTGAATCTTATAATTCATGGCTGATAGTCTCTTTTTTTATCATATTAAGTAAAAAACCGATCTATAACATCATTTATAATAAAATAAAATAAAAACAAGCATAAGATTGAAGACAAAAAACTACCATCTTGAAATTAAAAAAAAAAAAAAACCTACATCAAATTTTCATATATAAGCCTGATAATGCATGTATGGGCAGGCACATGTTGTGCTGGTGAGGCACAAAATTGAAATGATAGGAGAAAGGGAGCATAAAAAAATTAGCTCCATGCACAGAGAAGAGGGGGCCATATTTTTTTATTTTAGTGCTTCAATGAGTTGTTTCCCAACTGGAAGTTAGGTAATCTGTATAGAAAATTTTTGTTCAATGTTTAGTACTTGAGAAACATGGATTTGATTGAAGGTTGTTGCTTTCTTCGCGACCCTTTCGTCCCCCCCTCCAATACTCTAGATATATATATTATTTTGTTTTAAAAACTATTTTTACTGTTAATTTTGAAATATTCTACCAAGTGGTATCACCCCTATGCATTATAAAAGGCCTTTAATCAAAGG